ACTTTTTGTATAGAAACACGACAATTTTCTGACGCTCTGGTTTTACATACAACCTCGTGCAATACTAATTATAAGTACCCTCGGTGAAACTGCATGCAAAAAAGACCCCTACTATAAAGCAAGCTCAAAGTTTTACAAGTTTCTTTGATCTGAAAAATACTGATGAGCTCGCCTACGGCTTACAAACAACCACGAAATAATAAGAAATTTTTCGGTCTAGTACCTCCTGGACACCTATGTGTCTGAACCAATAAACAAAAGTAAAAGCTCAAACACACCGATCAAGCTTTTAATATCCATTACACGAAAAAATAAACGACGAAACGGAAGAGAATACGCTTCCTTAATTCAATTGTTTATTTAGCCATAGTGTCAGCTTCACCTTGAATGCCTCGATAAGTCCTTATGCAAATAATTAACTTCATTAAGAGTTTAAAAAATAATTGTTTTATTGACTTTTTCATTTATCTGGTCTGGAAAAAGAGAAAATTTCTGATTGTTTGTTTTGACGCTTTGGGTTATTCGATTGCGTATAATACTTAACTGACACTTTTTCTACATAATATTCTTTACCTTTGATATCCGTTGAGTCTTGAGGTGGTCTCATTATATCATTCAAATAATGTTCTAGGCCTCTCATATTTTCTAAAGGACTACTTCCATTCGCGTTCACTACACCACACCGGTCCTATAAAAAATAGATTTCTTAATTAATCCCCAAAACGATTCTAAAACCAACATAAAATTACACAAGGAAGCTTAAGCCATGCTGGACACAAAATTATCCTTACCTTTTTTTGAACTTCGCGCTTGGTATTCTTTATAATTTCAGGATTGCTTTAGATAGAATTTTTTGTTTTGGTTGAATCACTTGAATTAAACGTACCGAATTGATCTTATTAAAGTATTTCAAGAATTGAAATCCCTTTTTATAGCTTTCTTAAGACAGAGTCGTTCGCAACAAGAATAAACTAATAACTACGCCTGTGTCGTGTGGGTTGCCTATGCCAAGAACTGGGTCATTTCATTACATTCTCACTAAAATCAATACGCAATAATCCTGTAGTGATATAAAATGTCTTTAATTTTTTTTTACATAGCAATCATAGCATGAGTCGAAATGAGCACTATTATTGAATAACTAACAGTAAAAGGAACGATATTTTATTCTTAATTGTAATTTCAAATAAAGAATTTTTACTTGATCGAGTCAAAGTAAAACTAAGTAAAGTAACAGTGCTGAAATGTACCAAATATTAGATCTAAATTCATTAAATACGGCTTGTGACTTTGCCAAAATTAACTAAGAGTATTTTACTGGATTAATAAGCGAGTAATACTACAAAGCGTCAAGGGGGAACTTCCCTACAACTAATACACAAACATTCAAAAATAAACAAGTAAGGTATTATTTTATTAACAAGCTGAATTTGCATGTGTTTAATGTGTTGCCTATCACTCTAAATTAGTAAATTAGTTATTTTTGCTATAAGGTTTTTTGGCAATGTACCTACAGTTTTGATAAGAATTATCAAAATTTGGCTGTTGCCGGCCGGTTTGAAAGCTCGCCAAATTTTTAAAAATACTTCGACCTGATCGGAAGATTTTGGATGTTTATAATTTTACGTCGATTTTGGGTTCCCTATAGTGCTATAGTAAGAAAATCGAATATAGCATAGGTCTCCGCTTATTTATATATAGCTCATCCTCTATGAACTCATGGCCATTTCTATTTTCAGCTCATTGCTTACCTCACCTGAATGTCTAGCTACCCTAACACGTCATTCTTTTGCTAAAAATTTTGACGATTCCGCTTATTTTTAGTGGGTGTCATTTTAGGTGCCTGGTGTAAATTTATCAATGTTCTTTCGGCTGAAATAAGTAGATCCTTCGTGGAATATCTGAGTTTTAGCATATGAGTTTTTTATTTTTTTTTCGTAAATCCAAAATTGTATCTGTGAAGTATTGAAAAAAACAATACAAAAGCATATCGCCATTTTTGTTCTAAAATTATCGAGTTGCTGGAAGTTATTTCGGTACATCCTAAATATACTGAGTGTGTCATTTCACTCTGAATCGTAGGTCGAGCTTAACTTTTTTATTATCATTGCAAGTAATTCTCATATAAATTTGTATAACAGATAAGTTTATGATGGAGATAAGACTAGATTTGGAACAATACTGTCTTATCTTGTGGTTGTATTACAGACCACAAAGGTATAGATAGTAAACTATGTAAAAATCTTCCGTTTAAAGGATGTTCAAAAGACAAATAAAATTTTGTCGAATGTGTTTATTGTCTCAGGTTTAAGAATGTATAATATTATGGGGGTGTAGATACAAAATATAGCAAAAGATACAAAACGGTGTACATATACTTTTGAAATGCATGCTCCATTGAGTGTTTGATTGAAAACAAAATTCTATGTCTATAAATATCTTGGTTTTGTACGTGTTAAAAGTTGGACCATGCAATGCAAGTACAATGTCCTAATAACGAATAAAAACAATACAAAATAAAAAAATAATAAATAAAAACAAACATGAAATAATGATTAATGGTTTATTATTGAGATCATATTATCACAGACAAAAGTGACTAGACTAGATATTTTGGTAGTGGGTGACACAGCAAGCAGCAGCAGCAGACGAGAGCACAAAACAGCTAGCGTGTGGCATGTGGCAATCACAAGAGTCACAGTGCAGTGCTCAAAAGTGCCACACATTACCTGATAGGGAAGTAGATCTCTGGCCTCATCCATGTTGGTGATTTCGAAAGTGGGAGCAGGCTGGGGAAAGGGCCCTTTGCCCGGATAAGAGGTGCTGCGTCTGAATTTGACTGGAGATATGACTTGTTGATGGTTGAAGGTAGGACTAGGTTTCCTGCCAGCGACTCCCATCTGCTGGAGCGGCGTGAGGTTGGGCACGCTCCGGCCGCGGTTCCAGGCCGAGGAGCCCCCGGACCAGCTCGTCTGGCCCGGGCTGGCCCACGAGCCGTAGCCCTTGTAGAGCGGGTGGCCGGACTGGCGGCCCATGTGGGGAAAATTGTGGCTGGCCGTGATGGCCCGCCGGCCCTGGCTCTGATTATTACCGAACAGCTGCTGCTGGTTCGGGGACGGGAAGTTCTGGAAGCCGAGGCCGTTGACGCTCATGGGGGCGTACGAGTCCTCGACGGCCGCCGACCATAGCGCCGGGGCGCCCCCCTCGGCGGGGTGGAAGAGCGGCAGCGAGGCCGCGGCCTTCGTGGACGCCGCCTCCAGCTTATCGAGCTCGACGTCCTCCTTGCCCTTCTCGGGGGCCTCCTCAGCGCTGCTGACCTTTTCCTCATCCTGCATCGGCCGACTCCCGGCCTGGAGGATCGAGGAGTCGGTGCCGCTCGTCGACGTCGACGTAGGTGTGGTGTAGAATATTGTGCTGCTGCTCTTCGACGTGTTCACGGGGATCTCCACAGCACTCAAACCGATGTTCGCGTTGCCACTCAAACTAAACTCCCCCATTAGTGCACGTCACTCAGTCTAGGGCCGGTTATCGTCGTTATGTCATACACGTACACCCGCAGAACACTCCACCAGTGAACCACCAGCCCACTTTTCTGTCAGTGTCACTAGTTTGCGCGGAAGGACCACCCGATTTCGCACGATTACTATTCGGCCGAGGCCGAAGTGACCGCCTGCCAAAGATTACATCGAATTGACTTGCGCTCTACTATACTCAACAAACTATAGCTGACGTCGACAAGGACCGTGACAGCGCGCGCATCAGATCGAACAGCTGATGACGACATATGAACCATTATGGCTTGCATCATGACGCGCACCATCTACCTTCCACCATCGCTACGGCACTATCAACCACGGGTTCACAAGAAAAAATTTAAACCACCTTCAATTCTTCTTACCGTAACATTAGAAATATTAAAACACCAACTAAACAAAATTTTATATACTTAAACGCTAAGTACACAATCACAAACCCCTACACCCACGGCTGACTCGGCCCTTTTGGAACTAATTTTACGACCCTGCTTCCAAAGGGAACAGTGTTAATTATATTTGAACACGAAAATTGCCTACATTAAAAAACACCCACTCATTAATCTTAAGAATAAATATTATCAAAAATTGTAGTTTGGGCATAATATTTCTACAACAATTAAAAAGGTGTTAATTTTCTCTAAACATTAGAATTTATAAACAATCATTTACTAAAAATGCATCCTGAAATTTGCCACCCATAAGTTTGGATTATTCAAATTATTTTTTTTAAATAGACTTTTTCAACTGTTTTTTATTTCGGTGTCACAATGAGAATTTTGCGAAAACAGTTGCATAAGATGCAATTTTGGCGACATTTTATGCCATCACTGGCCATAGACTGTCGTTTTTAAATGAGAAATTGTTGCAGTTCAACGTATTTCACCAAAACTAATACAATTCGCGCAATTTGGATACCGCATTTGTCAAATGTCAAAAATTTTAACTGTCAAATATAATAATAAATAAAGCCCTCAATAGAAAAAAAAAAGTATAAAAAAGCGTGTTACAATCTCTCTTTGTGCATTTGTAACACTCGCCACTGCGTGAATCGTGTTGTATGTTTGTAACACTTGTTTTTTAATATACTATTTTAATTTTCTGTCATCAATCTGTCAACATATTAGAAATATTTATTTTGTACTTGTAATCATCATTCATCATCTATGTAATCTGGACCACGAAATGCAGCTTGTTTTCAAATAGGGTTTTATGTCAAATTTCTCATTCTGAAAAAAAATATGAGCATTTAAGTCTATAGGTTCGTATGTTAACATGACCCTGACCGAAGGCAAATGGTTATAAAAAAATTAATTACTCTAAAAGTACCTAATGAACATATTTGTTAAATGCAGATAAGTATAAAAGTATTTATTAATAGAATCATTGTGCAGAATCAATTTAAAATTTTACTGTAAATTAAACATAGTAATTTTTAAAAGACTTGGCACAATTCTGATAAAATGGCAAGATAGAAATTGTAATTAAGCTTGTAGACAACAGTTGTTTTATGCATTATCACACATTTTGTCCAGTGATAATTATTTTAATATAATTTGATGAGTTCGTTTAGATTTCAAAGCAATACATACAAGTCAATATTGCTTCTAAAGTAATTCAGTAAACTGTTTAAAATGGATTAGTGGTCAAATATGTAGATTCGACGTACAACAAAGCTAGCCGAAATTGAAACAAATTTAAATTGAGTAGGTATTTAACGATAGTACGAGTATATCAGCCGCTCACTTTCTTCTAAATTTCCGATTCGTGCCGCTTTCTTTTCTAAAAATACTGATGCGCATAATTTGGTATTTACATTTCAATTAGAGACAAGGTAGGTTTTATTTTATTGATGTATAATTAATGGCTTGTGTTGTGGTTTCTAGATAGAAAATAGTCGATACTTGCTCCGCGCTTTATTTTCAAATACCGTTTCTTGTGACGTGTCTAAAGTGCCGGCGCTGTGGTCAACGGAAGAAACATGTGCGTAGCTTTAGCCACTAGTCAGTGTTAAAAAAACAGTGAAGTAACGAAACGAGGAAATTCTTCGTTTGGGTTTGCCAGTTTTTCCGATAAAAGTGAAGAAAATTAAGTAAGATATGTGAAGTACTAGTTTGTTTACGTGAATTGACAATAATAATGGCCCCAACTGTGGGAGGACGCACTTAACCTGCAATAAATATTTATGTTGAGCTATAAATGAAGTGGAAACAATTTATCTCAGTGTGTTTCCCATTTCCATGACGAAAATAATGTTGCTTGAAGGAAGGAGGCAACGATCGCTGTGCCCTAGGAAGTATTAAAAAATAATTCATGTGAGAACTCGTTCAAGATGAGTCACAATAACAGTGACCAAACACCTCTTTCCCAACCATTGAAGGTAGAAACGGACACTAACAGCGTACATGCAGAAACTTCGAATTATTACGAAGAAGATAAGGATAATTTTAATCAAAACAATGATAATGAAGACAACGACTCCCTAGGACCCCTGCCACCAAAGTGGGAAAAGGCATACACTGAAAGTGGAGAAGTTTACTTCATTGAGTAAGTTACACCCTTGTTTACAAACACCAGAACACCTCTAATCCATTTTTGACCCAGTTAATTAGAAAATTGTGTCATAAGTAAAAGTTACTAAACAAATATCATTTTAATAAACTGTAAAATGTATCAACTACACTAATTGTGAGTGACAAGTTTGGCGAATTTAATTATTATGATTGTGTCGTTAGGTGTACAGACCTACACATTAAAAATTGAAATGATGTGAACTGGTCCGTTAACCATTCAACTTTGTTTTAATTTGTATGTTTTTTTCGTTTCATATTAATTGCTAATGAAGTCGGTGTTTTTCTTAGCCATTCAACTGGCACGTCGCATTGGCTGGACCCACGCTTGTCAAAATTCCAGAAGAAATCCCTCGAAGACTGTTTAGATGACGAATTACCTTACGGTTGGGAAAAAATAAGCGACCCGAATTATGGTACATACTTCATAGATCACGTAAATAGACGAACTCAGTATGAAAATCCTGTGATACAAGCTAAACGAGCGGCATCTCAAGCTTCCGCTCGTGCGAGTCGTACATCGTTCACGAAAGATCCTGCAGAGTTATGCGGGCAACGATTTCGCACGTCACTTGTTAAGTCTTCTAGAGGTTTAGGTTTTACGATTGTCGGTGGCGATGACGGCGTTGATGAGTTTTTACAGATTAAATCTGTTGTCCCTAAAGGACCGGCTTGGCTGGACGGGAAGCTTCAAACGGGAGACGTTATTGTCTATGTTAATGATACTTGTGTTTTGGGGTACACTCATATTCAAATTGTTCGATTATTTCAATCGATTAATGTCGGTTCGACTGTCTCGCTTGAAGTTTGTCGCGGGTATCCTCTTCCTTTTGACCCTAATGACCCCAATACTGAAGTTGTTACTACGATCGCTGTGGACTCACATTTACAACAAGTCTCGGCTGATAAGAGACTTTTAGATACGAATTATAATTTCTTAGACGGAGATGATGTGTCGCGAGAGGAAGATAATACACTTGAGCCTTCAGATGATATCGATGATTTAATTAAAGGAATCGGAAACTGTACCATGGGTAAAGTTGAAGTCAGAGTTCGTATAGTGAAAGGCAATCTTGGATTTGGGTTCACAATAGCTGATAGTGCTTGTGGTCAAAGAGTTAAACAGATACTTGATAGGCAACGATGCAAGAATTTGATGGAAGGTGATATTTTGTTAGAAATAAATGACATTTCTCTGATAAATATGTCACATGATGAAGTTGTGCAAGTTTTAAAAAATTGCCCTTATAATAGCGAAGCAACTATTTGTGTTCAAAGAGGGTGCACAAACAAAACACCAAATATTAGAAATAAGTTACGTAAATTAGACAATAGATTTGGCGGTAAAGATATCAATAATGCTTATCGTAGCAAAACACCAACAGCTGACATATACAGTACTCAACCACGTGAAGTTTTACCAAGTCGTCCAAAGACTCCTCTAGTTGACACACGAAGCCTTTCAAAAACACCAGTTAAAGACCTTAACTCGAATTCAAACAATGAACTCTACGATAATTTTAGTGCTGACCGCTCTCGATTAAGATTATCACTTATCGATAACCCTGAAGAAGAAGATGATCTAGACATATCAGAAAACGGACCTAACAAGCCTTCTTATGAGTACCCCCCACCGGTTGTCGACCCGAAATACACCTGGGGTATGTTAATGATGCACCAATACGACTGCACTTGTTACAACTGTACAAATCCGCGACCACCTATCGAAAACTGCGACAGTTACGACCATAACAACCTTAAGAAAAATGTCGGAATGGATTATTGGCAGTACATACCACGAAACACTGAATATGTCACCACTACTGTGGTTTTACACCGACAAGAGACCGGTTTTGGTTTTAGAATCGTTGGAGGAATCGAGGACAAGTCCCAAGTAGCAGTAGGCCATATAGTAGCAGGAGGAGCAGCCGATATGGATGGTCGAATACGTTCAGGGGATGAAATAGTCAGTGTTGACGGCTACTCAGTCTTGAAAGCTTCGCATCGCCAAGTAGTTCGCTTAATGAACGCTGCTGCTGCTCGAGGTCAGGTCACCTTAGTCGTCCGGAGGCGAGTCTACCCTCCACAACCCGTCATGGCCCCGTACCCTATGGGCGTCAATTGGCCCCACGAAAACCCTCCACCGCCCCCTGCTTCGCACTTATCCGTAATGCCTCCCCCACATTCGGAGGGGAATTACGACGTGACTGTGCAACGGAACGAGAATGAAGGTTTCGGTTTTGTTATAATTTCGTCAGCCAACAAGCAAGGGTCGACCATCGGTGAGTGGTGAATTTGTCAGAATGAAGCTGATTGGTTGTTTCAGGCCGGTTGATCGAGGATAGCCCGGCAGAGAAATGCGGTCGGCTGCGTGTTGGAGACCATATTGTGGCAGTCAATCACATTGCAATTATGCACATGAGTCATGGTGATATTGTTAATCTCATAAAAGAGTCAGGTTTGTCTGTTACTCTCACTATTGCACCCAGTTTCGATCTTTGATATGTTAATGGTAAATCGAGTTTTTTCGCGAAATCAAAAAAGTTCTTAAGTAAAGTGTTTTGGATTTAAAATGTTAACGAATCGAATATATATAAAAATTTATCGTTGCCTTATACCAAATTGTATTAAAGATTTGTGATATTGGTTTGAATCGCACTGCCTTGATGGAACTAGAAATTCTTGTGTTTCGTTTTACTTTGACACGAATATTTCAAATGACTGATTTTTTGTTTTATTTTAAAATTATTTATTTTTTAATAAAAACCAAAGTGGTGGTTTGTCGGCTCTAAATCAATTGAAGCATTTTGCTCAAAAACAGTTTTATTGTTAACGTATTTTTAAAATTAATAGCTCATTAGAGGTAATGTAGGTTATGTAATCTCACTGGATCTTAACATGTAAGAATCGTCAATAGTATTTTGTTACCTTTCAACCTTGTCTTTGCTACATTATTTATTGTATATTTTTTATTCTTTGTTTTATAATACTTTAATTTTATGTTACCTCCATATAATTATTACTTAGATTAAGTTATTATAAAATATTGCAATATAGTCTAACCAAATACTATAAATATAGTCTGTTTGGAGTATACGCGAGCGTAGAAACATACAATTGTGCGGATTGCCTGATTATATTATAAATATATACCGAATTTTGTCATTTTGTTTTATAATGACTACATTTCGAATCTTAGTGAGGTCAGTTGTCTACAATTTGTCCACAAGTGATCTCGTAGTTCTATTAAGCCAATCAAAGTACTATATAATCAAAAATTCTGTAGCTCAGTAGGCCATAAAATTCTATTACTAATTTTATTTCACTTGCTAGAATCTTAACATGCAAAGTTTTTATACTACTAATTATAGTATAAAAACTTTGCGTCGCACTGTATAATTATATGATTATGTGATACACAATATGTTAATTAGTTTATTTTATATTTAGGAATATTATGAATTTACGTATTGTGCCTTTAATTGTAACTTGCCGTTAATTAATCATGTATCTTGAGTCTGTAAAGTCGTTCCTTGGTGGTGAAACAGGTGTTATTAATAAAATTCATTCCGGCCAGAGCATTTGAAATTTTTTACTAGACTGATTATGTGTAAAAAGTTGTATATTATTTACAAAATATATTCGTTACGATTTTTTTGTTTCTCTTTATTTCTGCCAAATAAAACAACGAAATCGAAGCAGTTAACTGAATTTTATGTAAAAAAATATATGCAATACAAATAAGTTACAAAAAACAGACATATATACAGTAAGTTCATTAATTTGATAAAAGTAATCTCATTTCAAATATCCTCTTCATGAGTAGGAATCTGAAATAATGAACGAAAGTCAAAAACCAAGTATAAAAATAACAGAAATGAAAAAAATAATAACATTTAGTACTCTCTAAAATTATTAATATAGTTATAATAGTAATCTTCTTGAATATTTGTAACAGTTTGCTGATATGGAGGGCTATAACTACAACTGGTTAACTTGCCTGAAGATTCAGATTTAGCATTATTATAAATAGTTTCGAGTTGCGGCTGCACATATCCAAGCAATGGTCTGTCGCCAGGTTCAGCGGACCAACACTGTTCCATGAGATTCCAACACGCTTGATTAAAGTGTGCTAAACATTCAGGCCGAATCCCTACAAAAAGCAAAATCAAAACTGTCACTTTAAACCGCCCTCATTGTTATACCTTTCCGGACACTGTTCCAAAGTTGTTCTTTATTTTGAAACTGATCAAAATGATTAGGCAACTTCACTTGACCTGCACATATGTACCAAAATAATATTCCAAAAGCATAAACGTCAACACTGGAATCATAACGGCCGGATAACAATTCGGGGGCCATATGTACGGGCGTTCCCACAACACTTCCCGACATCATAGCTTCAGGGATACAAAAACCGAAATCAGTCAACTTCGCACGATCTTCACTATCAAGCTACATGAAACATCATTACAAGAAGTAACCACACATTGACCGACTTACAAGAACATTTTTCAGTTTGATATCTCTATGTACGAGACCTTGAGAGTGCAAATATCGGATTCCTTCAACCACATCGATTGCAATCCTCAGCCGTACCACCCAGGATAAACCATTACGTAGCCCACAGTGTAAGTCTCTAGTCATCCTCTCCATTATAAGGAGAACAGCAGGAGAACTACCACCTCCGTAAGTGTAATCAATCACAGAACCTCTCAATTTAACAATTCGAGGATGTTCCGATATGGTTCTACAAAACAAACTTGAATTTACCACTGCAAGAAGGCGGTACTTCGTACCTGGTGTAGTAAAACTCCATGGCGAGATCATTCCAATGCCTATCATCAGGAGGAACAACCGATTTAAAGGCACAAGGGTCTATGCCGGCCCAAGGTTCGCAAGATGAAACAACCCCATATTGACCCCTTCCAATCTCCCTTATTTGTTTAGGCATACCCCAAACTACCAAATCACACAAAGACGTACTTTCTAATGCTAGACGCGCGAATCTGGGAGCGTGTCTTTTACGAATCAAAATTCTTTGTTCCTCAGTCTGTTCCAATTGGCCCGACAGTTGGTTTTCCAGGGAACGCATGGCGCTTTGAAACGCCTCATGGGATAATTTCACGTGCTCTTGGAACTGAAACAATTAATAAGAAAAAAACTGCAAAAAATTAAACATCTTACCTGAGTTGAAATCGTCTTGGCCAACTTGGAGGCGCTTAACGAGTCAATCATGTTTGTCACAACCTGGAGTTGCCATTGAACGTTGCATTGAACTTGTGACGATGACCATGGCAGGATAAAATTCGATAAGAGAGTTCGCAAACGATCCATGAATGTGTGAACTACAGAAAACGACGTTGATGACTTCAGATCTATGTTATAAGCGGCGCTCAAAATCTGTTTAACGGCGTCAGAAGCTGAGAGATTTCCCTCTAAATCGTGGCAGTTTTTCTCGAGACTTTCCAAACAGCGCTGTAAAGTCCCTGTAAAGCTTTCCTGCAAACAACCAACTGATTGGACGATTTGAGTCGCGACCGAATTTCGGAGTCTCCTCAGAACCAACTGTTGGATTTCCATTGTTGCCATTTTTGTAGACTGATGATCATCATCTGAAAACGTGTGTCAAACGAGTAGAAAAATTGAAGTGTTTTTACTTTTGTTGTATCCTTCCAAAACGTCACTGACATTTGTTTTCATTTCCTGCAATGTTCGCTGGATTATTCCCGTGATTTCTTCTTGTTGTTCCCCTGCGATTTTCATCAGTTTTTTGTAAAGTTTCAATTCGATATCTTGGGCATACAATATGCGTTTTGGAGTTATCTGAATTTCACGAGCCATGTCAAACGCGGACAGAATGAAACGTCGTAAACATTGACTATGAATCTAGATTTAAAATTAGTTGAATTAAATGTAAAACACGGAAAAAAATTGAATACCTCACTAAGTAAGGCAGCCATTTTTAAAATACTCGATTTTAAAACCTCATGAATAAACACTATTAACTCCTCGTTCATTTGTGTATCATAGATAAGAGTATTGTACAATGAACAATCCAGACAATATGATTTCCGTTTCATGAGTTCTTCAGTCTTTAAGTTGTCGGAGTCATTTAAATAGCCTATAAAAAAATTTGAGTATTCTCACAAAAAATCTTATTTTTTCGTACCTAATCGTACTAGCTGATCTCTCAAGTTTTGCATTTTACTCAAAGTCTTTTGTCCCCCATTGCATTCCAGGAGATGTTGTTCAGACTCTGTTAAAGATTCAGTGCTTTGTGAAGGTCCAATGTTAGAAACGCTGACAAACAAAAATGGTAAATTGTAGAGTTCCTTGAACTTACGAATTTCTTGAATATTCTACAATTTATCACTTTAGGGTAAGCAAAAACATAAAAATTGTATAAATACAGAATCACTGAGAACATCCTCAGACACAGCATATATTATCACAGGTAGAACATTTTTCATGTGTTTATTTAGAATTTCGTGAACATGATCTGGTTGACAGTCTGGTGGGACCATAATATTGGCATTATCTTTGAGTAAAGTGTGACAAATCTCAACCTCTAAAGACGCACATAAATCATCACCAATTCTTTGCAAGTCTTCTTCAGGTATTGTAACCCAGGGTTTTTCATGTGCTTTCAACTTTTCCACAATTTCGTATTCATCACCCCAAGTTAAACGAATATTCTTTGAATGTCCATATTTAAAAGTAATCTAGCAATTTACCCAAATAACAATTTTTACCGTTAATAAAACAACTTACATAACGCCACTGGCTACTAAATAGCGGCAAAATGATCTGATCCAACAAATTATTCACAAATAAAGCTTTGGCGTGACAGTTTTGCCCAAAAACCATAAGAGTTGGGACTGTATCAAGTTTATTATGCAGCTTATCAATCACATCTTGATTTAGCAAATCCTCTTTGATTTCTTCTACAATGTCAAAAAACAACAATTAAAAAAAACTAAAACTAAAGTAAAGAACTTACTTCCTAATTGCAAATTACTACTAATATCATCTAAAGCACAGCATGTATCCCTTAATATCCTTCTTAGACTTTGACAATTTTTCGAGTATTTCCTAAATTCCTTTGGTATGGCTATCAACATTTTTGCGCACTTAAATCATTGATGTTTGAATTAATAAAATACTGATTCGTTAATCTGTCATGCCTAATATTAAAATCGGACTTTTACAATTAAACCATACATAAACTTGTCAAAACAAAATGTCAAAACGTATGACATATGATGATGACGACTGACTACCGGCAGTTTTGTTGATGCATTCAGGGAACCAAACGTCGTGTTTATTTTATCTTTGTATAACTGGTTGCAGAATGCAACTATCTCTTATTTTTACTTTATTGTTTATTTTCTAATTCAATTCTTAACTTTTTTAAATTATAGATAGTTTTAATTATTTTTAAGTTTTAAATAAACTATAATCAACAAATTTAAAGAGTTTCATAAAAACACGCGGTGATCAGTTAAAATATAAAATGATCTACAAGTTGGTTTGAAAATATATAGCTTTTTTAACGTTTCTCAGCCCTAATTCTGAATTATCAATTCAAGTTCTTTTTTTTTTAATCGAATAAGTTTAAATGTGTTTTTACCTAAAACTTTAGGTACTTTTCATTGAGTTTGAATTTAGCATTTAATAGATATTAATTATTATAAATACATTTTGACGGTTTTTTATTAAACCTTTCCCATTATACTTTTTGTTGGCACATCGGAGATTTTAAAAATATTTTTTTAATGTTTTGGAGACCAAAACATTGAAAAAATCGGCAAAAATTGAAATTAGGGGAGAGTAGGATTATTGCTGTGCACAAGTGGATAATCATGCACGCTTTTTTGTAGCTTTTCTTAAATCTTTTTGAACATTTTTTTTGCTGTCATGTAGTTTTATATATTATAGTAGTGTGTAGGTAGATGTCTACACCTTCAAAAGTCTCACTAGAAAACTAAATTATGTTTTTTTTTCTATACTACAGCATTTTGCATTAGTCTACTTCACGCATTATTACGCAACGCAATGCACTTAGCTTAAGCTTTTATTTGTATATTATGAAAATAGGTGATGCATATAATTTTTTTCTTAAATCGGATTTTTGGCTAACATACAAAATGCCCCAGAGAAAAATTTCAAGTAAGATAAGATACTAGGAATATGGAAAAAATGAATCAAAAATCTATCAATCAAAAAATTTTGACATTTACCCTTTAGTGATATTGATGATCTTGTATAAGTTTTTTTTTATAATTATTTAGTAAAGATATAATTTTGCTAATAAAAGCCATAATTTACATTAAATAGAATTACAATTTAGGATACAGCTTCCTTGTTTCCTTTTCTAATAGCCTGTAGCAAAAAAAAACTTGAAAAATTATTTTTCCAACAGAAATAAACAGAGTTAAAGTGCAAAATTTAAACTCTCATAACTTCGAAATTTTTACAGTTAGAATTTTTTAACATTTTCTCTATGTTCCTGGTATCTTACCTTACATTTTTCTCAGGGGTATAAAACTATCGTTGGTCAAAGACACAAAAAAGTACCTTAAACTTTCATGGTTACAGCAATTTTTTTTGGGTGCGCACAATTCACTCACTTTTCCCTACGTAAACTTTGTGCAACGTCTTTGTGAAATTTTGACCCATAAAGCTAAATTTTCCGAATTGATCGCTATTAACTTGGGGGAAAGCGTTATCACGCAATATGCCGCGCGGAGTTAAATCAGAGCTCGGTGGGGTTGCAGTCTACCCTTTGCTTTCTCAAAGACACAAGTGTTAAGTGCAGTGAAAAAAAGGAAAAATGTCACGTTTGAATTTATTGTGTATGTTTACATTCTGGACCTGTTTTGCTGCAAGAGAACCACCCACCGTTGATATCCCTGGCCAAGGGCGCATCATGGGGAAAGAAATTTCCAGATATAGATCTCAGAAAATAATCGGATATTACGGAATTCCCTATGCACAACCACCCATAGATGACCTCAGATTTGCGCCCCCTGACACCACGAACCCGGTTTCTTGGGAAGGAGTGCGCAATTTGACTGACTACATGCCTGCCTGTCTCCAAACAGAGAGCGATATTCGAGAGGAGGCTAAGCCTTTTCTTCAACTTATCTACCCTTCGTACACCAATTTGACGACAGATGAGGATTGTTTGTATCTCAACGTTTTTGTTCCTTTCGGTAAGGAGAAATCTATAATCGCGGAATAAATTTCGAATTCATTATCGTGCCCTAAAATATTATACAGAAATGACCTATAACGCAGCACCACACACTGACATTTAAGTGAGGGTGGTGAAATTTTTTTAATGTCTTTGACACCATAAATTTCAAATTTTAAGGCAGAAAATACGCTTATTGTTTTTGCTTTTTAACATTTCATGTCATAAGGACGTAAATTGTAGTTGGTATATGTTATCTTAAATCAATAACTAATTTCCATTCAGAAAACGACTGCAGTGCACTGGTAACTTATTCTTATTTTAATAAAACCCCAGATGAGTCAAATTGTAAAAATTGTGTCAAGTTTAACTGAGTCAAAGTTGGTCAAAATTTCCCCTAGCCGATTGCATGGGTGTTATCTTAAAAATAATCGTACATATATAATTTCAATTTCTTATATTAAAATACATTTCTTAACCTTGAACTCGTAGCTCAAATATTTCGTGTCGTTTTAGCATATCCCGTCGCATAATTTGATTTAGATTAGCAATAAAGAATTGTAAGTCCGATCCTGCTCTATTATTAACACTGAATATTTTTTTCCGATTTTTCGATCGATTGTAAAATAACGTCTTGTTATGTTGCAAGATGATAATAATCTATTCCTTTCCATTTCCTTTTACTAGAGTTGTCCAAATCGCATGTACATAAACCAAACATAGGCGAACAGGACCGGACGTGGGCAATGCTAAATGCCGGTTTATAGCGTGTCTTTCGCTCATTAAAGGCTTTGGCACGCATCAAAAAGTCAAATTTGCAGTTCAGTTCTAAAGTAGAAATCGCGTGCCGAAAATTTGTCTTGATCTCAGAGTTGACCATCTACACGTCAAAAATTACTCTTAATTGTATCACATTTTAAACGGTGGAGAAAAATACGAGATGAATTGAAGAGAAATTGTGTTTTTTAAATTCGCTTAAATCGATCGATTTTTCCTTTAAGATTAAATCCACTGAGACATGGCGTGACTTGCTTTACATTCTGAGAATTTCATTACACAGGCGACAAATTGAAAGATTCTAATTGCGGTCTTACTTTATTCGAAATTGTTTGCATTTGTGCAAATGCAAGGTTAAAAATCAATTGATTCAAATTGATAGTTAAAAATCAATTCATCTATATATGTTATTTATACCTACATTTTTTTATTTTTTAAAGTATTCATTGATTCGTTCTTGTTTTAGACTTTAATTAAGATTTTTTTTTAAGGAATCATAAGTTTTTCAGTTTTTTTTTTTTTTGATTTAACAGATATCAAAATGCAAATCTTAGACTTAAATTTCATAAAAAAAGTTAAAATAAGATCTTACAACAACACAACATTTCAAGATTACTCTGTTTCTCACACTTTATCATGAAACTAAATACTGAAATCAAACCTTATTTGTTAGATTGCAGTAGGCTAAGTTCTCATACCTTTTTGGGAAAGCTATCTAAAATTTTTCCGACATTTAAATAGCCATTCACATAAATGGCAAAAAATAAAGTAACGATATGTTTAGAATGATATAATAACATGAGCGTCTTAGTTTAGCAATATTCAATTATGTAGAGACTCAAAATAAAAATTTAATAGGGCAGTGGCGCAGTGAGTAGGGGTTTTGGGGAGAGAGAGCAAGTAAGAACGCAAAGCATAATAAGAAAGAGAAAGAGCATAAGAACAAATAGTGCACAAAACATAAGTAAAGGAAAGTGCATAAAGCATAAGAGCTTTTTTCTGTATCGGTGGCACACAAAATGCTCTTTGGGACACTGTTTCTTAGAACATTTTATGCTACATTTTTACCATCACTGACTGCATTCTGGGAGAAATTGTTGTAAATCAACGTATTTCATGGAAACTAATGCAATTTGAGCTATTTTTAAACAATTTGAGTACCACATACGTCAAAAGACAAATTCAGTTTAGAAATCGCTCAATAAAAAAATAGTATAAAAAAAACACGCGTTACAACCTCTCATTGTATACTCCAATGAGTACTCGAATTATTTTACATAGGTGAATCCCCCTAAACTCTATCTCTGTCTGTGCCACTATAATAGTCTTGCCATTTTTTTATCTTCCGCTTGAGCATTATTCAATGTTACCAACTTAATTTCAAAGGCATGAGTCTAGTTAATAGGAAATGAAGTAAGCAAATCATCAATAGAAAATATGATTTTTGACAGCTTGCAAAATATTTTATTTGTTCAATTTTTTGAATTTTTGTAGGCAAGCCCCCTGCTGGCGGCTACGCCACCATAATGTGGATCCACCCTGGCAACTACACAACGGGTTCGCCCTCCATGTGGAACCCCCACACTTTAGTCTACCGCTACCGCGTAATCCTTGTCACCTTCGCTTGGCGGTTGGGCATCATGGGTTTCTTTACCACGATGGATGGTGAAGCCCCTGGAAACTTCGGCTTAATGGACCAACAAGCAGCGATGATGTGGGTGAAGAAAAACATCAAACTTTTTGGTGGAAATGAAGATAATATAAGTTTGATGGGGTATGGAACTGGGGGCGTCAGTGTGGGGATACACATGGTGAACCCACAATCACGCGAATATTTCCATAAGGCGATTGTGATGAGTGCGAATTTTTTGAACCCTTCTGTCATCAAGAATCCGCAAGAAGATAAGAGTTTGTTGGATCATTTAGCGAAGTTTTCGGGTTGTATTAGGAAGCCCACAAGTCGGCTTATTGAGTGTTTGAGACAGCTTGATGGCAAGCCTTTGGTTGAGCAAACGTCGAATATTAACTGGAGACCTCTTCTGGATGCCGGTTTAAGTAACAGTAGTACTTTTTTGCCCGAGCTTCCAAGGAATTACTTTGAACGGGGCGAGTTTCATAAAGTTCCATTCCTGACGGGTTATACCAACAATGAGGATATTTTAGCAGTGACGACGATGATAGATGAGTTTGAAACTGCTAATATCACAAATGAAAACCTCCAAGAGTTACTTTCGGAAATTGTCAGTAGTGACATCCCTGTTAATAACAATACGGACTCTTGTGCTTACAACAATGAGCATTTGACTGACTCAGTAATGTTTTTTTACGGTCCTGACGCCACTAACAATATTAAAGATGTCGATGCTTTGCGAAAAATCGTGGGTGATTTCACCACTGAACGAAGTCATGGAGCTTCGACTTTTCTGCATGCAACTTATGTCAGTCGAGAGCAACCAACTTTTGTGTACCGGTGTGACTTAAAACCGGTCACCGAAAAGGCAATCAGTAGTATACCCTCGTGGGTATCAGTTCCGCACTTGTATGACTTGATTTATGTTTGGGGGGTTCCCTATTGGCAAGAATTCGACGGAAACATTAAATGGGAATTGAGAGATAAACGAGTCTCTGAGATCATAATGACTTTTTGGACGAGTTTTGCCAAAAGTTCAGATCCCACGAATGGGAGTTTGTATGCGATAAGATGGTTGCCGTTCACACAGGATAATCCACAGTTGATGATTCTAGATGGCTCGTTTAATATGAGCGATAATAAAGTGTTGAATTACAAAGCGTTCGAGTTTTGGAATAATTACTATCCGAAAGTGTTGCAAATTGCAACACAGTGTTGTAATGCTACAGATGGGTCTTTTCATATTCAAGCTTCCTACAATGTACCAATCTTTTCTCAAATTTTTCTATTTCTTTTACACGTTCTAAATTGTGCCTTTCTTATGTAAAAATCTCATATCTTCGGAAAACTTCCTAGTATGTAGATATATATAGTAATAATTTGTCACAGTGTAAATAGTGGTTTAACTTAATTAGACTGTCGTAGCTACGGCACCTCAATTTTATCACAACATAAACAATAAATTTATTTGAGATGAAGTAGCTATTCATTAGTAGTTAAATTTCATGTTCTAACATTTTTAACTACTTGTGAAAAAATACATATCTTTGATTTTGTACCTATAATAATGATAATTGATAATAGGAGATGAAGGACGTATTTTTCTGATGTAAAAATTTGCTAATTTACTATGATAATTAAAGTGTAATGAATCATCAGTGGTTTTGCTTTTATTTACTAACCTTCGTAAAAAAATAAATCGTTGTAGCGAAATCTGGAGTAACTGTGAAATTAATAATATTATTAATTATATATGAAATTGATACTCAAAACACAATATGTTTTTATTTATAGTTTGAAATTTGAATTGTAGATAATACAGAGTGCCTAATTTGCGACGCAAATTTGAGATGGTATAATTGCTTGACAGATGGCGCTGATTAAAATTGTATCATGTTTCTATAATATTGCTTGCGTAATTTACATAATTTTCGAAATATGAGTATTGTCTTAGGTCAGTAAGTCAAAAAAGTTGGTACAAAAACCGTGCAGATTAAAATAGTACCTTACCTTACTGTTTCTAGTTTATTTATAATTTAGGACTAAATTTAGTTGAGTTGTTTTTGTTTTACGGAAACAAAAAAATGTCAGTGGCTAGGGACTTTTTTTATGTAGAGTTTTATATTTAATTAGATTGTAGTATTTCTTGGTGTTGTATTTATAAACGAATTGTGTTTCTGATTGTTGTAATTGTTGTTTTGTTCTTGTTGTGTTGTTTATTGAATTTTATGTGGTTTGTGTGCGAGTCTAACTTGAATTTGGCGCGCGGAGAAACTTCATTTGATAACCTTCAAAGAAAGTGAAATATCCCTAAAAGGTCTAAATTAGAAGTGTCGGCCGCAAAGCGTGATTATCGTATGAATGAGTGAAAGAAAGAACTTTTGTATTCAGTTAGGTGTAGTTAGTTAAAATTTGGTGGTAAACATTAACTACGTGTTATATAACGTGGTTTGAACAATAGTTATAAATGTTGTCGTGTGACGGTACATATTATCAAAGTGTGGTTGCCATGCTTTCATAAACCAACATGGTTACACTCCATATTGTTCGTTTGAACGTAAAATATCATTAAACCTTGAAGAGTTGCATTTAACCCTCGAAGATTAAATTGAAGATGGAAGCACATTGTGTAGCAACACCAAATACTGCCTCCAAGGACGTTGACAATAAGGCTACGTCTTCAGATAACCCTGGAGCTTCTTATGCACATGCTGTTTTGAACTTCAAGCAGAACAACAACAGCAACAAGGAAAACATTGCCGAAAGGAAATTTGACCATAATGCGGCTACTAAACCGGAAAAAGTCTCGACCCCGGAGCCCCAAGATCCAAGAGACGATAGTGATAACTTTACCCCGGTCCCAACACACAGTCGCAAAGACCGAAAGCATGATCAGTTAAAAAAAGACAAACATAAACATTTAGTGAACGGTAATATTGATAAAAAAGACAATCACGACAAATTCAAGAAACCAGCCAAGCACACCAAAACCAAACCGGAAATTCAACAGCCCCCGAAAGAACCTCAAAGCAGCACACAGATTAAGGAAGAGACGAACACCGAAACTAAAAAAGTGTTTGTTGCAGCACCTATACCAAAAGTGAACGCGTGGCAAATCAAAAATGCAGCTCCTGTTGCAGCAGCTAAAGAACCCTTAAATGATAAAAGGGTCCTGCAACCGCAGAAACAGGAAACGGTTCAGAAAAATCAAGCAGCGGCTGTGGTTAAAGCACCCAAAGACAGACGCAAATTCAACAAAAAGGTCAGTCACAAGCGAGATTTTTTCCTTCAGAAAATTCACATCACAATCGCAGACTTAAATTTAACTGAATAGAATTGTCGGTTTTAATTATTAATACACACCAACACTTGGATAAGTTCGCCACAATCATCACTTATCAAAGGTGGAATTAATTAAAATTGGCCATTGTGTTCATTTCGCAACTGATTTTTTTCTCCTAGTTACAATTTTATTATTTTTTATATTATTATTTTATTCACGATCATGAGCTTAACGATAAATCATTCTATTACGACGCAAAAATGCACCTAAACCGGAAGTGGAAATTCCGTTTAACCCATTCAATGTTTTTTTGTACAAAACGAGCAAAATCACGTTATCAAGCATTAAAAATAATTCTCAAAACATCTAAAATTCCTAAGAAATTCCAAAATTGGGTCACATCACATTATAAGTATGTATCTCATTTAAAAACATTACGAAATTCCTATATCACAAAATACTATAATTTCACTTTTATTCGGAGTTTCGAAATACCATATCGTGTATTTTTTATTATAATTAATTTAAATTTTTTTGCAAATTCTACTTGTTAAATAATGTCTAGGACAGGTTTAAAACCAGTACTGATAATTCGATTTTTATCGATCGAAAAGGGCACTGTTTCTAATTAAGTGAAATTGTTGTAAACTGACCCGAAAATATTTCATCAATTAATGAAGGAATTGAGGATGAGATGTAATCGCAACCACCAAACCGTGACAATGTTCAGGTCGGCGCTTCTCGACGTCAAAAATCAAATATTTTATATTCTATTATGTAATTAAAATATTCGAACAGGGCGTATTTTTATTGGCACATATTCAAAAGATTTGGGTCGCAGGTTGCTAGATTCGAACCGGAAGTCTTTTAAATGACATTATTAAAAGTAGACAGGCGTTGTTACCCACTACAAAATCATGTTAACCTTGACTGTAAAAGGTATTCACTTAATTGAGAAAACTATATCATTTTTTTTTTCAAATTTCTTATTGTTTCCAAGAACTTAAAAATTTTGAAATCGTAAATATGTATTTACAACGGTTATATTTTTTCTATGGTCTCTTGATAACTTTAATGTGGCGACTAAGTGTAATTTTATGGCGAACTGTATACGTCAAATTTTACGAATTTCTGCAATTCCACACTTGTAGGTTGAAGATAAAATACGGCCACGTGAATTCTACTGCTATTGTTTTTAGTTATGCAGCTGCAGTGCTCCGTGTGATCATTCGAAACGTCGAAATATATTTTTATACTTACAATTTTTTGCAACCAAAAATTTTCAATGAGTACGCGTGGAAAATTGGTATGTAAATATGCTAATTAAAAAATGTTATTACATCACTTAATTCGCATAAATCTTTTAATATCACACTTAATCGTAGTATTATCATTTACAAGAACAGATATGTGACCGTGTCATTAAATGTCGTATATTTGTATTTTGGTTCAAACGACCTTGAAATTTCTATATGTCATGATTAAATAAGTTATAAATTTTTTCCCCTAATAATCTTGTTGATCTTTACCGTATCAAATCATTTCTTAAGCAACTAAAAAAAAGAAATCGTGTTGAAAGTTAAAGGGTTAAGTTAATTCAAGCATGCGTAGTGTCATATTTCCACAAAACTAAATAAAATAACTTTCATTCAAAGTTGATCACGCATTTAACAGTTAGATAAATTTACATATGTAACCAATGGGAATGGGAATTCATGAAACTTGACCTTCCTATAGTAAAATCGCAGTAAACACACACGATTTTGTCGTTTTTTAACGCGATCGTCGAACTAAATTAAAAAATAACGAAAGGATGTGTTTGCTTTTGTTATTGATTAGAAACTTATTGCAGTCGAAGTTCTAATTTTACATGTGGGTCAGTCAGTAAAATGATGACATTATTTTGCACAGTTGGCAAGAAATTCGTGTAAAATTATCATCTCACATTCTCTGAAATTTGTTTTTTGTGCTTTTAGGCCAGCAACTTCTCGGATATTTGTGATTGGCCAACGTTGAATGATAACGTCGCAGCGGAGGTAACTAATGTGTTAAGATAGGGGTAAAGTGCGATTTTTTGGTTTTTAGTCTAAAAAAGTGTCGCCAAATCCGACTCCTGGTCAGTCGTCGACAGCATCCAAGGAGAAGATCCAACAGCAGACGTCTCATGAAGAACATGAAGATAAAAAAAAGTCAACCAAACATAAATGGGTACCATTGGAGATTGATTTGACTAAAGCGCATAAAAAGGATCAGTCACCAAGGAGACGAGCTGACAGAGATGCCCAATCGACCGTTAGTGATGGAGATAGAGATTGGAGGGCGGAATTGCGAGATGGTCCTCAGGTAAATGGGAGATATCCCAGACCGGCCTCAGTGGCCGCTAGAGGTAGAGGACGTAATAGGGGAGGAAGACGTACCACGTTTAATAGACCAACCAATAGAATGCCAACTGATCCAGATTATATAGATTTTCCCGCCGAATATGCCCAGGTATTTCCCTACTCCACTACTCCCCATCAAAATTATTTTGGTAATTTTTTTTTCTTCAAGTTTGCCACTCAAAACTTTATGCCATACATGGGCACTTTTTACTTCAATAGTAACAATTACGGGAGTTTAGACAAACCAACGCTAAAGGAATACATTAGGAATCAAATGTAAGTCACGGAAATTTCAAACCGAATCAAATTTATTTTATATTTATTTCAGCGAGTATTACTTCAGCGAGGAAAATCTATCACGTGACTTCTTTTTGAGGCGAAAAATGGACGCTCAAGGCTACCTCCCTATAACTTTAATAGCGTCGTTTCATCGTGTTCAAGCACTGACTGATAATTTACCTTTGATCATTGAATCCGTTAGAAGTTCAGACAAAATTGAATTCGCATCGGGATTCAAAGTTCGGCCGAAGCACGAACCAACCAAATGGCCTCTATTAGACGGTAACAATGATATTAAAAAAGTTGCATCTCAATTAGTTCCTCCACCGCCACTGCCGCGGACATTACGAATAGAAAACTTAAATCCGGACGTGCCTGAATTTATCCCCGAACATAACAATAACAAAACCAATATCAACATGAACAGCACAGAAGACAACGATAACGATAAAGAAAACTCTAGTGAGAATAATACGGTTAATAACGTCGATAGTAAAGAAAATAATGGGTTAAGTACAGATGAGGAAAGTTGGCGCGAAGTGAAACGAAAAAACAAAGAAAACAAAGGCAAGAAGGAGACTAAAACGAAAAGTTACGAAAGAGAGGAACTGGAATTTTATTTTGATGAAGAAATTGACCATTGTGTATTAAGTGGACGGCAAAATACTTTTTCAAATGAAGGGTAAAACAATCGGGTAAAATTTTATTTTATAAAAAAAAATCTTGAATTTTAGTGCTGAAGACGACTCGGATGAATTGAGCGATCACGACGTTAGCAAATTACTTATCGTAACACAAACACCGTCTCGTCCACCTAAACATGAAGGTTACGATCGCACCGGTGATAAAACAACACGAGTCAAAATAACACAAGAATTAGAACAAGCCATTAACGATGGACTTTATTATTATGAAGAAGACTTATGGTGTAACGTAAGTTACACATTTTGTATTAATCTTTAAAAAGCATTTTTTTTTTATTTAGGACTTCTCTTCGTTTGGTAGTTACAAAACTGTGAATGTGATTAGTCAGGAAGATTTCAAAAAGATGGCACCTCCTGCACCGAAGAAACAAAATCCTGAAGTACCTCCGCCACCTCCTCCTGTTGTAAGTTAATTGTGTATTGTATGGATTGGGGCTAAAACAGTTTTTGACAGGTCGATGTTAGTAAACCTTCTGGTAGTAAAAATAAAAGTCCGAAGACTCCTGGTCATAGAAATGTGCCAAGGTTTTATGCTGTGGTTAAAGATGAAGTTCCTGATCCGCACACGCCTAGAAAACGGAAAACGAAGCATTCGAGTAATCCACCAGTTGAGCAACACGTTGGCTGGATTATGGATGTGCGGGAGCATCGCATTCGTACGAGTTCGGCTAGTAGTAGTTTTGGGACAAGTCCTAGTGAAAATCACTTGGGAACGAGTTGTGGAAGTGTACCACAAGCGTTGCCGGCCTTCCAACACCCTTCGCATGCTCTTTTGAAAGAGAACAACTTCACGCAACAGGCTTATTCGAAATTCAGGGCAAAGTGCTTAAAAGGTATTGTATTTTTGTCAAGAGTGAAATGTTTTGTAATTTGTAACTTCGTTTCAGAACGTAAACGTTATGGTATTGGTCAAAGCAATGAGATGAACACGCTATTCCGATTCTGGTCATTCTTCTTACGGGAAAATTTCAATCGCACGATGTACAACGAATTCAAAACAATTGCGTTAGAAGATGCAGAAAAAGGTTATCGTTACGGACTTGAGTGTCTATTTAGATTTTATTCGTACGGTCTCGAAGTTAAATTCCGGCCGCATCTCTATGAGGATTTCCAAGAGGAAACGGTTAGAGATTACGAAAACGGACAATTGTACGGCTTGGAAAAATTTTGGGCTTTTCTCAAGTATTACAAACATAGCAGCAATTTGCAAGTGAATCCAATACTAAAGCAGTATTTATCAAAATTTAAGAGCATTGAGGATTTCAGAGTCGTTGAGGTAATCGATTAAGTCAAGGTGAGTAGAATCCGATTTTACTGTTGGTTGTTTTAGCCCATCAACGATACTCAAGGTGGACGTCCTCAATATCGTCAAAAGAATCGAAATCGTAGTCTTTCAGAAACACAATCGGCCGAACCGGGAACATCACGTGATGATAGTGCTATAGGACGACGTTCTTCTGGAAGTAACGTTGCTCATAGGTAAGCTGATTTTGGGTATCGAGAATCTGGCAGCCATGTTATGTAATTTCGGCCAGTTTAGATTGTGTAGATCATAAGATATTTGTTGCTTAACTTACCTCATCAGTGATCTATGCAGGCTGAAATGGCGCTGGAATGTCCTATATTATATGCTGATACATATTGTTAATAATAGGGAAAGGTTTTGCCAAGGATTTGCTTATAATAATATTGATAGAAAGCTGCCAATAGAATGAATAATGCAGCTAGAATTTATCACGAACATCGTTTGATTTTTTGAGGCAACGATGTGCCAAAAATTGTTATTTTTTTAAACAAGTCAAGTTCAGAACGAAGTTATTCTGTTCAACTCGCCATTAAAATGTATAGATTGTTTAGTCTGCGGTCCGCTTTGAGTGGGTATAATCTTATACTCATTGTCCTATGAATAAATGCGTCTGTTATTAATTTATTATTTAAGAAGAGCACCCCTGCCAAAGTTGATTGATTATAGGGTCTCTCTCCAAAAATGCATTTATTTTAGTTATTGAGTGATTTTTTAGTTTTTTTGTTTGTTGTTAGGGGGCATAGGCTGTTAGTATGGTGTTAGGTTTTACTGGTGCACTATTGTAACGAATCAAATGGGAGAATCGCCAATTGTGTGTATACTTCTCAATTTTCAGATCGTTTTAAAACTTAATTAATTTTTTAACTCATAGATTGTATGTAAGATTGTATTGGAGCATTGTTTTTTTTTTTTTTTTGATTAAATTTTCTTAAGCTTTATTCCTTTTTTATTTACATAATTATATGAACTCCACACAAACTAAACTAGTAATCAAAGTAACACAATAATATGATATTTCGATAAAATAAAGTGCTTTAAATTAATTCAGTTGAAATTTGTTGCTAAACCTTGAACTTTCCCTGTTATTTGTTGTCAGCGATTGCGTCGTTTTTGGAACTATAAATACGATAACGACGTTTAAATATAATTGGATTTTAAATGTTAATTTGAATTAGGTTTATTTAAATATGTTGGGGTTGCATGGAAGAACGAGTTCCTGGGAGCTGCGGTCTCGTGAGGAGTGATATGATGTATATTTTATTCTAGGCTTGATTTTGCTCACGCTCAGCCTGGAACTAGTGCTCCAGCTGGGACAGGTTTTAGATTCGCGGGACGGGCTCGCACTCAGTCTTTTGGATCTGGCCGTACTAAAAGTAATCGAAATAGCGGTGAATCATGGCGACAAAAAGAGCCAGATGGTAGGTCGGGAGGGTTTGAGTGACTTTTGGCTTGATTTGAGCTTTGTTACAGGCAAATTTGAAAATTCCACAAACGCTGCTTAAGTTCCAACAAGTGTTCTAGTTAAGTGATCAAGGCAAAATTTTCGTAACATTACTTGGTCTTTTCTTTTGTAAAATTTTAAGTGTAGTTTATAATGTTTTAAATTATAGTTATAATTATGAATTATTATAAAACTATCAAGCACTGATGTTTGTATAAAATGAATAACTGATGTATAAAAGTGTAAGTAGATTTGCGAGTGTTAAGTGCCATTGCCTTAAAATAACTGACAGTTTCATATTTTTCTAGTAATTACAAGATGAAGCTACGCAACGCAATATTTTTTAAATGTCAGTGGAGACCGTATCGGTTCTATTATTAAATATTGTGAATGATTTAGTCATAAAGTTTTGTGTGAGTTTGGTGGTTGCATTAATGAATTGTATTGTATTGACTGCGCTATTCTTTGTACATATTGGTCAAAACAATTATGGGCTCACTCCACAATACTTTCATATATAAAATCTAAAAAATAGGCTGTTTCGTTTTCGCTTTAGTGTGTACCAATATATTAAGCATTATGTAGCTGGGCTACACAATATAACTGCTTAGCTGAGATTTCTTAAGTTTCTTTTTACTAGTAATTACAAGAGCAAGCAATGTACGTTTAGTTGAGCTAAGAATGTTTGCACTTTTCATTGAAAATGGCAATCATACAATGGTAAATTTTACTTATTTACTTAAGGTATGCATTTCCCCAAAAAAATTTAGTTGTAATCTTGTGTATTGCCCACTTTTTTTTTTTTTGTTATGTTATTGTTTTTTCCCAACCCACGTAGTTTGAAGATATCTATAAGTTGTATTAGTAACCAACCCTTGATAAATGGTACGATTAGGGGGAAGACTAGTAATGGTGTTGTTACTTGAAACTCTCAACTTGTTTTTGTTAATATGACTAAATCCCATTTGTTTTATATTGTTAACAGTTTTAGGTGTCAACTACTCTTGATATATTTTTATAATTAATTCCTACTGGTATGTTTATAAAAATGTAAATCATAGGACAGGCAAGGAGTTTTTTGTATGTGTTTTCGTAATATCGTATCTAGAGAATTAATCATCATTTTAAGATAGTTAAAACTGTTTTTTCGTTTAGTCTGAAATCAGCTACGTGCAATTACATAATTGTTATCAGATTAGACGAAAAAACACATAAATCTTGTGATAATTAAACGTTTTTTTTGCTCAACTCCTTGCAATTTATTATATAATTAAGTTAGTTTGTAAAGTGTGTTGTGGAAGTGTGGTCAAAGATTTGTCTTCCTGTAACACTTAAAAAAATATAAAAAAAACTACAAAACTGCAACACGTCTTTCATTTCACCTCTGATTTCAAATCTCCCGCTTAAACCAAGCTGGAATACCGAATTTTTTTCAAGAGATGGCAGAACGAGCATCTGTCACATTTTCCATTCAGATGTCTTGATTTGTGTTGTTTCTGTTTTATCCCAGCTTAACATGCTTAGCAACAAACTCCCATGGGAAAATAGTGTCATAATTATTTATTAAAAGTTCAAACCCAGAAGTGTCAATATGGATTTCGATAGTCCCGATGTAATGAAGGATTTCCCTGGCTTATACGCGTCCGAATTAAATAAGCAGTGCAATAATGACAGCGACTGTAATAATAAATTATGTGAACTACTAATTGTTTTTAAATTAAAACTCGTTTTTAGATAGTGACGAAAATGACAAAGTCATGAAAAAGGACATCCTCATTGGCAAACGCAAAGAGAAAAAGGATAAAGACAAGGGTTATGCCGCTTTAGAAGGGGAAAGTTCAGCTGATGAAAATTTCAAATCAAGGTAATCACATTTGGGAAACGTTTTATTTACTCACTGGAATGTTTCAGAAGCCCCTCTAAAACAAAAAAAGCCAAACCGTTCAAATTCTCTACTAAAGCCAAAGAAAAAAGGGACAAATCCAGGGAAAAAGAGAAAGATCTTGACAAGAAGAAAGATAGGGATAAAAAGAATGATAAGAAGCTTGACAAGGAAAAAGTCAAAAGTGAGAAAACGAAAAAACTCAAACAGTCAATTGACGAAACGGCTGATATTGGCGGTAATAGGAACTCTAACATAATAGGAAAATTTTAATTTGTCATTTATTTTAGACATTTTGCCGATTTTTGGGGCTAGTTTAGACGTGGCTGTTGAGAGAAGCCGGTGCCATGACGGTGTAGACATTCCTTTACCCATACGGGAGTGTATAGACTATGTAGAAACAGTAGGTATATCATTTGAAGGAATTTACAAAATCAGCGGAACAAAATCAAAAGTTCTTCAAATACGTAAAATGTACAATCAGAGGGGCAATATTAATTTAAATGATTATGATCCTCCTACCGTTACAAGTTTAGTAAAAACATATTTAAGGTAATCACATTACTTGTGTAATCAGGATGAGCGAAAAATGTTTCCAGAGATTTACCAGAACCACTTTTTACAAATGACCTTTTAATACGTTTTGAGGAAGCCGGAGCCATCCTTAATCTCAATACTAGAGAAAAACATTTAAAAATTTTAGTGGAGCTTTTACCTCCTCCCAACAAAATGCTCTTGGGCTGGCTAATCACCCACTTACACAACATTTCATTAAATGTGAGTCTTCCAATTGTAAAAAATAAGTCTTGAAATGTGTTTTGCAGGAAAAATGCAATAAAATGAACAAACAAAGCATCTCCACAGCTCTCAATCACACTTTCCACTGCTCCTCCCGCCTTTTACACGCCTTACTCCACCACTGCCTTGCTCTTTTCCCCACCATTAAAGTCGAGCGGTATATTCCTCCCCTCGAATCCGGCGCTAAACTCCCCGACGACCCTCAAGAAATCGAAACGGAACTCAAAAAACAAGAATCTCTTCTCACCCAAATCCACAAAGAAATGAACGTTTGTTGCATATCGAAACAAAGGGAAGAACTCTTATGGGAAGTACAAAGAATCATCACCCAACTTAAACGTAAACTTAAAACGGCAAACCGCGACAAAGAAGCGGTCGAAAAAATTGAAACTCACGTTGAAGAACCCGAACCGGAACCTGAAACTTCAGAAAAACCGGAAACCCAAGCCGAGGAAGTCGCCGAGAGTGAAGAACCAGTGACTGAAGAATCCGAACTGGACAACAACGTCGCATTGTTGAAGTTTAAAAATGAGGGGCTTTTGCTACTGAGGGACTCGCTTTTGAAGGATATCCAAGCTGAGCGCAACCAAATCGCGGTTTTGCGGTCGCAGATAACAGGGGAGGTCCCCCCGGTGGCCATGGTGCCGAATGAAGATCTGGATGAAGTTATGGACCTCTTCCTCAAGGAGAACCAAATTTTACAAATCAAGAAAATCAATTTAGTCAGACAGATCATAGAAGAGCAAGAGATGTGTATCGAATTGAGAGCGCAGATTTTAGCGAAATCGTAACTGTGTCCAGTATTATTGTAACTGTATATAATAAATGTTTACTGAAATTGACGTTGTCATTTAAATTTAGAAAGTTAGACTTGACATTGGTGTGGGCTCTAAGGTTAAAGTATGCAACTAGGAATACGCCTGAACTAAGCCAACAGGCGGCGCTAGTAATGTACTTAACTTGAGTATTTTTACATGTTTTTGTGCGTGTTGTTTTTATTTTTAGTGGGGAGTGAGTTCGTTTCATGTCCGATATTATTTTAGAATAGGAAGTTGTTGGAGGTGTATACAATTTCATTTTTTTTTATTGTTAACTGTGTTATATGGATTTTTACGACCGTCCCTTGTGATGTTTGTTGACGTTCAGCAAAGTCAATAAAACAAGATAAGAAGTTTCGTTAGTGTAAAGTGTATATATACATTGCTCATTTTATTATATTGTTATAAGTTCCCTGTCATATTTTAAATCGAAGCCACTAGGGATTCATCTCGTGGTAAGTCTTCAGAATCCTCAACTTTTTTTTGACCTCAAATCCCATTTATTTATCTGTACTGCAAGACTCCCACGTCAATTGTTTCATTATTATTATTCATAATCATGTTTTCCTCAACTTTTGATTAAATTGTCGCCTCTGTTTACACAGATGATTCCGTTTACACGCACCATGAACTACAGTTTAACCCAGAAACACCACCAATCCGGAATTTTATTTTCATTCGTCATCTAACACTTGTCGTTTTCTTTGGGAAACTTTATCATATTTATTTTAAATGTTTTTGAAAAGATTAGATTATAATATGTTTGTAGGTAGTTTACTTTGTTAAATCTTCAAGGTTGCAACAAGCAACCACAAAAACAGCCAGTTGTTTTGTTTAATTTTTGGATTTTAATCCGTTCCAGTAGCCGAAGACGTCTATAATTATTATAGTTTTATTTACAAATAAAAACGCCGACTTGAGCATCCAAGCATAAAATTGAAACGATAATTCAGATTCGATCTTTCTTTCGAAAAGTAGTACAAGAGATTATGTCAGATATCATACATTTAATTCGTAATTGTTCTGACTTAGGAAGCACGAAAGTGAAAAAACGAGATTTTGAAACTAATTAATGCATTTTCTAAATCACTTTCGTTTTAGTGTACTTTTGTTGAAATTTTTACTTTATCTAAGATTACGCACATGTGATTATGATTTCAAATATTGGCCACTTATCAGTTGATTGATTTTAAATTGTTAATTACGATTCATACGAGATTTGTTTTATTACCCTTTTAATCTTTTCGTGCGCTTTCGAATCCTGATTTGCGCTTCACTGATTTCTGGGTAATAAGAATTTTTTGTCATTCCCACTGTACATTTTTTACTAATTGTAGTCAAATCATAGAAAAATCGAAAATCGAGAGAATGTCAATATTTTTCCCTCAATGCCACTGTGGGTACTTTTTAGGCCTGTAGCCGAAATAGCAAGCAGTGAATGTAACGGTCAATGTTACACTTGCAATGATATTTAATATTAATAAGTGTTACACAAGTGAAATTAAAAAAAAAAATGTTATCAAGATCAGATTGAAGATATTGGAGATGTTGGGAATCAATGCAATTTTCTGAATTTTAGATAAAAATAAATATTATTATTCAAGGATTTATGATAAAATGAAAGTTTTGTAACTAGAACAAATGTTATCAAGATCAGATTGAAGATTTTGGAGATGTAGGGAATGAATGCAATTTTCTGAATTTTAGATAAAAATAAATATTATTATTCAAGGACTTATGATAAAATGGAAATTTTGTAACTAGAACAATTATAATAATTTTAATTAAACGGGCCATAATAATTGAAACAATGTTGCTGTTGTTGTAGCCTTAGCCTTTACTGGTTTCAGTTTTTAAAGTTGCAAAAATGTTAAGTGGGTATCACAGTTTGAGCCATTTGAGTAATAGACAATGAATATTGATGCTAATCTCGAGCGAGTTTGAAAACTGGTCCAATTAATTTACCGAAAGTAAAATGAGTTAAATGCCTTCCAAATAAGTACTGTACGATTTTGAACCGCGGTCTGTTTTCCAATTTCCGTTCAATTATTTGACTCGAGACAAAGCCAGCTTTCTAAATTTTTTTCTCGATTTGATTGTCTATCAAGGTTGCTGTTGAATTCGCAAGTTTGAGATGAATATGACGTCATTGAGTACAATAACACTAGTTCGTAGGATGGAAATTATAGTTTGTTTTAAAAATGTCAGATGCGATCAAGCAAAGAAACACTTCGTTCCAATTTACGGATCGAAGAAAATGTAGAAAGTAGTTAAGTAGTTCATTTATACTATTAGATAACTTCGATGGCCTTCACCGTTCATAATTTTCACTGTTAATGTTTACAAAATTGACCTAGCCACATAAATTTAAGCACAATACGGGAAAAGCGAAACTGAACATATCAGTGTGGAGTTTATCGTTTGAGTGGATTTATTTTGCAACTTGAATTGTTTTGTTTTTTCCTGCTATCAAAGCATAGCCGGATGATTAGTTTTACTTACATATTTAGTCGCGCTTAGTCAATCTGCGATAGTTAATTAATTGCCTGATTACCTCCAGGTCCTTAGTTGGTGTCGTGTAAACAGAATTATCCGTACTGTAATAAATTGTAAGATTAGTATTGCTGATCACGATTCTGTAGAAACTCTGTTCGCATCAATTGTGTGGACATTTCTTTATAACACTTGTTAATTATTGTTTCCAGATGTGTAAAGAAAGAATTGCAATCATGAAGAACATGTAAGTGTCCTAGTTATGGAATCAGAAGAAGCTCTTAATTACTATATTAACGAAGTTAAAGATACTAACAATGAGATAGAAATCGAGGAAGAACAAGTCCCTAATGGTAGAAATTCGAACGTTTTGTGTTTAGTAAATAATAATTTTTCGCGTTGTAGAAGCTGAACAAGCTGCTGATTTTTTACAAAAAGTTGGTTTATCCGACTTGACGAAATTATATAACCAAGGAAAAGAAATAACAGAAAATGTCATTAGTGATTCCGTGAGGCAGAAACATTTGACTGAGAGACAAGCCGAAACTGTTAGATCTAGAATCCGGACTTTAAATAAAACACTACACAGTAGACAACCAAGGCGAAAACAAAGACAAGATATTCGAGACGTAGCGTGGAATGTTGAAGTAAAACCAACTAAGTAAATGAATTAACGTTGATATTTAACCGTTTTTAGACATCGAGTACCGGTACAAGATCTAGAAGTGCTACACCAGATTCATTAGACTCGGTCGGAATCTTAAATGATGATCTAACTTCAGACGAAGACCAACAGTCGTCTTTACCTCCTTTGTAATCAACCTACGAGATTTTTTTTCCTTAACTAACTCGTTATTTTATAGCCCACTTGAATCTAGTCATCCAGTATTTAAAGCAAAAGTTAAATGGACGTCCAGTGAACCTCTCCAAAACAAAAAATTTAGCCGTGATAAAGGAGATGTGGCCCATCTTGGTTCTGAAAATGTTATTTTGAAAGGTTACCAACCCTTGAACGAGTATTCCACTCTCCCGAGACCCCAAAGAGAAAGAAGCGGAAGCGATCCAACAACAGAAGTGCATCTCCAACCCTTGAAAAATCGAAACAATTACGAATGCAAACCGCTCAATCTACACAACGAATTTTCCCGTAGCCAAAACAATTGCAGTAAAGTGTACATAAACGGCGACGAAAATGAAATTCTTAGTTTCGAGGGTTTGATGAAACAAAACAAAGTCAATCAATTGACGTCCAAAAATTTTGATTTGTGTGATGAAGGTGTGGACATTGACGAATTCACTGATAGTGAATACCAGTACTTAAAACCTCTACTTTACGTAGAGTTAGTCGCCATATTTGATCAATACAAAATAGTTTTTTTGAAGCGAAAGGCCAGTACTAAGTACAAAGGCAATTTTTTTCATCCTAGTTTTCCTCCCCTTCTAACTGTCTTTTTCAGGTGGAAACGTCTTTGGTGTTAACTTGTCGACTTTAGTAATGCGTGACATGCAAAGACCGACTGATAACCTAATGGTGCCTAAAATTTTCCAAAGTGTCGTCAATCAACTCAATACTCGCTGTGTTTGTGAAGATGGAATTTTAAGACTGGCAGGCCAGAAACAAAAACTCGAGTTTTTATGCAACGAAATTGAATCGAAATTTTTTACAAATAGGTTTGAGGTTGAAACTCTACTCCAGCAAGCAACAGTGCACGAACTGACCGGAGTTTTGAAGAAACTCCTCCGGGATTTGCCCGATCCTGTATTCACCATGGAACTATTTGACATGTTTTACAAAACGAGCAGTAGGTTGCAAAATGTCTTTTTCTACTTCTAAGTCTTGATTCCAGTGATTCCAAATAGTGAAGACAAGTTAAAAGCTTTAAACCTTCTCGTACTCCTCCTCCCGATCGAGCACCGCAACACTTACAAATTACTTTTGCAATTTCTTTTGAATGTAGTCAAGCATGAAAAGCAGAACAGGATGAATTTACACAACGTCGCGATGATTACAGCTCCGTCGTTTTTTCCTGCAAGACTTCTACTTCCGAAGTGAGTCAAATTTGACGTAATTGGACGCCTAAAGCAACACTTTTTTCAGAGACAATAACAGTAAACTGATTATGAAGCAATTGTCGCAGGAAGAATTAGCCAAACATATAAACGGGGCTGCGGTTTGTTGCGTCATTATGGAGACTATGTTACGTGCAGGATTAAAATTGTGGCTAATTCCGAGTTACTTAGCTCGGCAAGCTAAAGAAGCACAAAAAAGAGCGCAAGACAAAAAGGACAATAGTAGAGATAGAGACAAAAGAATTGTATGTTGTATTATTGACATCATATTATGTGGGTTTGGTATGGGAAATAGAGGTGATGGTTCTTTATTAATGCTGTTTTTCCCGAATAACTGTGTCTTTGTGCCTCTAACCCCCTTATACTGTCTCACCGCCGCTTCGTATGCACTTATGTATCACATTATTACCTTTTTTTCATAATGTTTGTCTATTTTCAGCCATGCGGTAAAACAAAGTTGGTTAGAAGCAGCACACAATACGAGCCGGGGCCTATCAACTCGCCAAGGATCAAAAAGGATTTGTTCATATAGACCCAAGGATCGAATTATATAACATATTCCTCAATAACGTACCTTATCAATCCCTTAATATCTAGTAATATATTTAATACTTGGTTTACAATTCTCTGTGCCAAAATAAATTTTAATTTTTTATTTTGATTTGTGTTTTATTTATTACCCACGCCAAACACAACTAAAAAACAAAGTCATTTAGGCGACCAACAATACAACGAAATGAATCAAGTCACTATTTTAAATAAATACAACCAAAAATAACTGCACTCTGCTGGCAATGAATCTGGACTACTATACAGGGTGTTTGCGGATTACGAGCAAATATTTACATTGAATGTTAATCGTTAAAGTTTTTGTGCACGCGTCAGTTTAGTCTGTTGTAAACGCGCTTTCGGGTGAAATCAAATTGTAAAGCAAGTCATTATGGCCAACTACTCAAACACTCAATTGACTAGCGTATGGGTATCACTTCTAAGACCGATTTTCACTAACTATTTGGGCAGGGATCATTAAACATGACCTAATAAGACCCCACCTTTTACCTCAACGTTTGACTAGTGCCGCGTTTCTGGATTTTTTGTGAAAATTTTCGGCACTTATTTAAACGTCATTTCAATAAAGACCACGGCTTAATTGTCATAACTGTCTTTTTATAACGGATGTTTTTTTTTGATGACAAATCAGCATGTATATGTCTGCAGTTATAAAGGACATTTCACACGTAATTTTAAAGGTGTCCGAAAAAAATGGAACAGCAATGTCATTCTCGGGGCGTATTAAAAATTGTGGTCCGTTCATAACACACCGTGAAAAAACACCTCATACGTATAGTTTAAAACATTAACCATTGTCAATACACTTTAGCAAAAATTTATAAAACAATAAAAAGTTTTTATTTGTTTCTATAATTTTTATTATACGTTTCATGCTACTTTTCATTTTACTTTAGTTTTGTTTACTTATATCTGTTTCACTAGTATACTTCTGTTTTATATTTGGTTGCAATTAAGAATGCTCTACAAATCTTATTTTAATACACTACGTAGCATTTAGATTATTTTACTTAGCATATGAGAATTATTTACTTAGCATTTTATTACTAGCCTAAGAAAAACTGTCTAAATTCCATAATCTAGCGTCACTACGCATTTTCCGTCTCGCAACTTAATGAATTATTATTAATTAAGTTATTATTTTTTATGTGATTAAAATGAATTTCGTTAGTATTGAGACATTTCCTAACAATATTACAAGATTTTAAAATGTCCGCTTTTTGATTCTCAATCTCCAAGTCTAACAACACTGATCGTTATTTTTCCCAAAGTAAAATATTTTGCCTGGTGGTAGTAGTAGCAATGCTTCGAACGGGTTTACCTTTTTTTTATTTCTATTTGACTTATCTAGAAAATTGAGATGCATCAAATAAATTTTATTATACAAGAATTCATTTAAAAATAACTCATTTTTTTGATTTTGTACTTAAAAACCATTTGATTATTATTTTTTAATATTTATAAAATTCATCGATTTTCTAATTATTATTGTATTAGTTTATCACAATCATTATTGTTTGCTACTACAATTAGGGTGTGTTCTAAACAGGCCCATATAGGTATGTAGTAATATCTTGCTTTCTAAGAATTATTTAATCCGTTACTCGTACATGTTTTTTGCGTCTTGATTTTTATTACAATACCAATTTAGCCCCGATTCTAAGCCCACATCAATACATTACTTTGTGCTTTCAACGATTTCTATTTCAACACATCCGAATAAAAAATACGCCGCGGGAGGCTGCGCTATACAGGATGGGATGAAAGCCAAGCAACGACCAGTACCTACTTTTTCGATGATTTAATAATACAATAAAAAATAAAGTTACTGTTATCATCAGCAAACAAACAAATAATTTTGTTTTTATATTAATTTGTGTTTTATTTTACCTTTCACTAAATTTATTCCTGTCTGTATGCGGTGTGTAAAATAAACAGAAGAAAACGGAAATCTACCTTGAACAATTGGACACAGTTTCAAAAATTAATCTCCCAGTTTGTCTGACTGAGTTATTGTGAAAAGTTGGACGAAAATAGTGGTCCGCACTGTATATGTTAGTTTTTAGATAAAACTGCATCGGTGCCTGTTCGTGGTGAATTGGAGAAGGCTTGAGAAAAACATTTGAAAAATTAGCTGTAGCCTGGCACGCTATTTTTGGTAGTCCAATTTAGTTCAGCTAATTTCAGTACAATTAGTAAAATATAGAACAAAAACATGACGACAAATTCCTAAATAAAGCACTGCTTGAACCCGTTGCGTTTTATCTTCCGATTTTCCGCAATTGTATTGTAATTCCCTTAGGGCCACTCACCTTTCCGCCTGTGTTTTCATGTTCAAATTTAGCATTTTTCTGAAAAATTAAGAAAAGTGTCGTTGCCAATTTTCAAACTACTTTCCTTCTAAAATTAAATACCCATATGGTGGGGTATTTCACTACGGAGGTAAGCAAGGATTGAAGAGAAAAATCTAAAGTGCGTAAAGAAAAAGTGATTGTTTTGAAAGCAACTGGCGTCAAACACTGGATCGCATACGCTTTCAGGAATGAGTGTTGCTTATAAGATTTATAAATTGTTTGGCGAACATCCCGAAATTAGGTGAGCACGGAATCTGGTTGCGAAGCTGACCGTCTTCTCTCGCACAGCTTCAACGTGTGTATATGTTCTTATCAAAGTGTCACAGTGGAATTATCGGCAATTAATCGATTTTTCGGTAATGTGACAGTAGTGCCTTTGTGCGAATTTTCCAGTGAAGTGATTACGTAATTGTTGCACGTTTTCCTGGATTCGATGATCCAGCGCACCTCCATTTTCTCCTAATTCCCAGTTTTTGAATAACAAATACACAGTAAGCATTACATTATTCTCCGTTCATAAATTTATTAAATCGAGTCAGGGTCTTGCAGCAAATACAAATGTGCTGTAGCTATATATAGACGGAACTCACGACCTAAGATGTAGCAGTTGTAAATTGTGAAACCCTTTTACCAATTTTTATTTTTCTCTCTCTCTCAGCGCTGAATTCGCCCAATCATGCATCACATGTACCCCCTTGCCAAAGGAGACCCCTTATGTCCCTTAGGTTTTCACCCACAAGTCAGATGGCCCACTCGATGTAAACGATGCTTTAGGTACATATTTCCAATTAAGTTTTTTTTGCCACAAAAACAATCATTTTAGAGACTATAAAGAACATGGGGGGAAACGAAGAGACGAAGAATCTTCACTTCGAAGAGACGACACTACGGCGTCGACACCTAGTCTGTCTTGGAGTTCAAGGTACAAGATCTTATTTTTCACATCATTCACATGCTTGGCATCCTTCAATGATGTCAATTTTGACAAAAGTCAAATCACTCCACGGTGCCAAATTAATTCGGTATCAATTAACATTTTTCATTGTTAAGATTGTAACAAAAATCATGTTTGATTTTACAAATCAATCAAAAAACAAAAGTAAGGTTTTTTTTAGAAGTTTTGTCCAGCTTCTAGCTGGGCGTAACCTTAGCAATCAGTTTCCTACACAATATCTTCATCAGTTTAATAATTATCTTTATTTGAGTTGATTCAGGGAGTAATTGCGTGTCAAAGTTCTTGTCATTGATTGTGTTATCCGATTTAGGGATGCAGATAGTGAGAGAAGACGTAGCTGGGTATCTAGCAGCAACTTAGCGTCTGACCGTGACAATAATTCTGTAAAAAGTGAAAGTAATTATAGCAATCCATCATCTTGGACGTCTACACCAGATTTAGCAAAATTGGAAGACGATACACAAGCTGTCACAACAGTTAGTATAAAATTACCAAAGAGAAAACAAAAATCGATCGATACAGGACAAAGAACTGGTAATTAATCACATTCGTTGGAACCAATAATCAAAATAAATTAAATTACAGTTTCTGATAGCTTCTCCTATAAACCCGAAAAGTCAGTATTTAGTAAAAACGATAGTTTAGCAGCACGCGCTAAGAAATTACAACAAATAAAAGAAGCAACAGAGGAAAAAAATAGACGTATCCAAATAAAAGAAGTTAAAACAATATCAGAGGAACCAACAAATCATGATGTACAATTTCTTATTCAAGTAATTAAATGTTGTTTTTTGTTAACCCTTGCACTCCTATTCAAGTAATTTAGAAGCTTTGTAGTTTTTGGGGCTTGTCATTGAACCCTTCAATTTTTTAAATTTGACAGTTTTTTGGAACCACACGAATAGGATTGGTAAGACGCATGTTAGCTCTATCCATCAAGAAGTACCAAGGAGACTGGTCAAGTCCATCATTCGTCGTGTTTTTGACGTCACCTGTGTACAATAACTTACTTTACCTCGCACTCTCACCGCTTGATATTCATCTAATTAATTATTAACTAATTGTTATTAACATTAAATAGCTCAAATCGCTTCAAATTCTTAAAAGAATTAATGTTAGGTAAAACGGAAGTCTACAACAATTCCACCACCAGTAGAAGATCACCATTCAGAACCCGAAGATGATGCTGTGAGTATAGCCGGAACTGAAACAACTGATACTACTTTAGTAGATGCACACGATCATGAGTTGAGAGACCAATTAGAAAGTTTAAAAAAAGAATTAGAAACAACAAAAACAAAATGTGAAAGATTAGAACGAGAAAAGAGTGATATTCTCTTGCGAAGATTAGCAGCGATGGAGACAACAACTAGCAAGACTACAGCTTCTGAAGTTTTGAAACTTCAACAAAAATGTAACGAATTGCAACAAACTCTTGAGGATTATCGTGACGAGAAGAAGAGTTTAACTTTTAAAGTGAAAGAGCTGGAAGAAGAGTTGGAACAAAGACCTACAGCTCAAGCTGCTCAGAAAATCGCCGATGAGTTACGATCAAAACTTCTAGCGGCTGAAACACTGTGCGAGGAGTTGATGGACGAAAATGAAGATATTAAGAAGGAGTTGAGAGATATGGAGGAACAAATGGACGAAATGCAGGATAATTTCCGAGAAGACCAGGCTGTGGAATACACTTCACTTAAAAAAGAGTTAGATCAGACTACCAAAAATTGTAGGATTTTATCATTCAAGTTGAGGAAAGCCGAACGCAAGACTGAACAATTAGAACAAGAAAAGAACGAAGCGGAACGAAAGTTGAAAGAGGTAGAAAGACGAACACTTTTAGTCACTTTTGATTTTTTCTTAGATCTCAGGGGGACAATCAACGTTGGCTAATTTAGAAAAAATGAAACAACTTGAACAGGATTTGAAACTGGCTAATGAAGTCTCGATTCGTTTACAAAAGGAGTTGGATGAAGCAAATCAAAAACTTCAAGAGGAGTCAAAAACGAGTAAAAAGAAAGCACCGAAGTTGGCATCAATTGGCAAATTTCCATCTGCTGATGGAGTAAGTTGATTGAGGAGTTTATCTCGTGTCTAATTAAGTCTTTCTAGAAAGTATCACGCGAGTCTTTAACTCGAGGCGGTTCCCAAGACGATCCTGCTCAGTTATTGAGAGACCTTCAAGACTCAATGGAACGCGAAGCTGATTTAAGAGAACAACTGAAATTTGCTGAAGAAGAGGTAGTTATCTCGCAAGTAACTTAGTTTTTTTTAATTTTGTTTCATGGTCCAGATTTATAACAAATCATCTGGACATTTTAAATCTCCTGAATTACATATTTTTCAACGCAAATCTCCTTTAGTTTTGTTTGAACCTAAAAATGTGAAGACAAGTCAAGAGTCAAAACTTTTTACAGTATCGACTCAAACTTTGCTTAATCTAGATTCATGTGAAGCAGGGATACAAACCGTATTTGATATTTGTGACGCTTCTAGTCAAACTGATCTAGATATAGAAAGTCGGCAGTTATGGCGACCGCAAAGTTTCATTTCTTCAATTCAATTCCATCATCTCACAATGTCAAAAATTTACCAACCAGCGAGACATTTTTCACCAATGGCCACTTTTCTGAACGCAATGGGTAATAATTTTTTCGTACTTGCAGGCTCAAAATTTACGCAAGAAAGTGTCAAGGATAGAAGATGATAATGAATCTTTGGTTTTGCAGCTGAAGAAAATGGCTACTCGAGCCAGAAGTAGGTCAAAAAATTAAACTGTGTATTGCATGATAATTAACAATTATTGGTCCTCTCCCTACTAATCTTTCCCACCATTTTCTACAGTTGCAACTCTTACATTTCTTGCTTAAGTTTTTTGGCTTTGTAGTCGTTTTAACCAAATTAATTAAAATAATTATTAGGTCGTAAATTAAGCCCCACAAATAATACAAGACTGACCCCAGAACCACCTTCTGAGAAAGGTGATGTATCAGACGATGAGGACCCCGCAGAAATAAAATTACAATTAGAATTGAGTGAACAAGAAGCTTCTGTTCTTCGACGCAAAGTTGAAGATTTAGAAGCAGAAAACCATAGAATTAAAACCAAAAATAAGGAATTGCAAGACAAACTTACTGCGAAAACTACCACAAAACGGACCCCTGTAGGTGGAGAAAAAGTCACAACATTGCAAAGTCAGAAGCTTAAGGTTCTGGAAGACGAGGCCAATGATCTTAGGAAGAAACTCATTGAGAAAGAAAGAGACTGTGAAAGACTACACGCGGAACTTAGTTTAAATCAAAAGAGAAGTAAAAGTGTTCAAAAAAGCAAGTACGTTTTTTTTGGATACATTATTTATATAAAAATAATTGTGTAAACACACAGGTCTTTGGATTTGGATCAGCAAACCTTGGATTTGAAACGCCAACTTCAAGTAATTGAGCAAGAAGCAAGCATTTTACGAAATAAAATTCAATCGCTTGAAACAGAGAACGAAAAATTAATAAGTGAGAATAAAAAACTTCAATTACTCCGAGGAACAAAAAATCTCAAATCTTCGGATAAAAATATAGACAAATACATTGACCAAATAGCTTTTCTTGAAATAGAAATTTCGGAGAAAAACGAGAAGATTAAAGCGTTGGAAGAAAAATTAGAAACAGCTCTCAAACAAGATTCATTAAGTCTGAAAGTAAGAATTGTGTCTTATTTTACGATGAATTCTAAAATAAAATTTAACAGGAAGGAAATTATAAACGATTTGTAGAGAGAACACCTAAAAAGATTTCGCAGTTAACGTCGAAAGATCAGTTGAAGACTATGGTGCATGATTTAGAGAATGAAATTGGTAAAAGTGAAATATTGATAAAAATCAGTGTTGAGAAGTTTTCTTTTAGGTGAAATGATTGTAGCAATAAAAACCAGTGAAAATGAGAAGATTAAATTAGAAGAAGAAATGAAGAAAATGAAACATCAGAACGAAGTTAATAAAGCGATGCAAGAACTAGAAGAAATGAATAAGAAATTTGAAGAGATGAAGACTGAATTATCGAAGGAAAAGGAGAAAGTGAATGAAGAGAGAAATAAATACGACGAAATCAACAAATCATTAGTCAAAACTAAGGAAACATTGACAAAATCGAACCAAGAAAAGAAGAAACTTAAAGAACAAATTGAGAAATTCAAAGAAGAACAGAAGAAAGTACAAGAAGAGAAAGATAAATTGGATGAAGAAATAGCTAAATTGAAAGCTAATTTAAGTAATTATTTTTAATGTTCTTGCGTTGTATCTTAAATTTTAATTTTCAGAAACCGCAACTTATAAACAAGACGAATTAACTTTAATAAGTCAAAAAGCTGAGTCGCTAAAATTAGATCTTGATTCTAAAGAAAAAGAGTTGAAAACGATCAAAAAAGAGCTTGACAGTAAAATTAATGAGGTAATATGATTAAATGACACTATTCCGTAGATAGATTTTTAAATATGTTATAGTTATCTGAAAAATCTTCGAAGATATCTCAATTAGAAAAGAAATTTAGCGAAACTGAAGAAAAATTAAAGAAGGCGGAAAAACGCGAAAGGGACTTAGAAACTAAAGTAACATAGTTAAGAATTTAAGAAGTAAAATTGAATGTTTAATTTTAGATTGATGAAGAGAAGAGTAAAACCAAGTCGAAAGAAGGAGAACAAAGTAAATGGAATGAAGAGCGTAAAAAATATAATAACCAAATCGAGGAATTAAATAATAAAATTTTAAGTTTGGAAACCACAATTGAGAGTAAAAAGAAATTAATCGAACGTTTGGTATTTTTCAGATTCTTAGTATTGAAACAAATTTCATAGTTGTTTTTTTAGGAAGAGAATTTGAAAAAGGAACGAGAATCGGTTTCCAAAGTGGGCGAAATAGAAACTCGCGAAATTACAAAATTGAAAGATGAATTAAGTAAGAGTAAAGCTAATTTGGCCGACATCGAGTCTAAATTGGCAACGTCTCAAAAATCTCAAAAAAATCTAGAAGATAAATTAAAGAAATCCGAGGCGGATAATAAGAATGATAAATTATCTCTTGAGAAGAAAAAAGGAGAGTTAGAAATAGAATTACAAGTAATAAAATAAAATAATTAAATCCATCGTTAAGAAAAATGTTTCAGAATGAAAAGAAGAAAAACGAGGTGATAAAAGCTAACCACGAGAAAGAGAATAAAAATAAGGAAATGGAACTTGCTTCACTGAAAAGTAAAATAAAATCGTTGGAATTAAATGCCGGAGCTGGAACTAAAAGATTAGCCGAAATTAAACAATTCCAAGAAACTATAGACAGTAATAAACTAAAACTGTTTTTTTTTGGTAATGTAATTTTGTGACTTTTTAGAATTAGAAAGCAATTTAAATAAGGAAAAGCAGAAATATGAAGATCTCACAGCGAAATATGAAATTTTGGAAGAAGAACATGTAGTAACCAAAGCCAAATTGGTTATGGAAAAAGAAACTATAGAAAAGTAAGACAATAATTTAAAAAAATTAATACATTTATATTCTTTTAGCCAACTTTCTAATACTAAGTCACAGCTGGACGAATTAGAAGTTGAGTTGAAAACACTAAGAGAAACATACAATAAACAACACGATGAATGGATAAAAGAGAAACTAAACATGCAGGAAAAAATAAAAGAGATTGAAAAACGTACCGGAAACGGAAGTGAACTAGATAAAGTGCGTTATAAAGCAATGCTGGAAGATAAACAATCTGAATTGGACCAGCTGAGGAAAGAAAATGAGGTGATAAATGACCAAATGGAATATATGAGAAAGGAGACTGATGAATTGAGAAAGAAATTAGACGATTATGAGAAAGTAAATAAAGTACAAAGGAATATAAGTGCCGATAGTTCAGCAATGGAAAAGGAAATAAGACAACTTAAAGCAAAGTCGGTAAATAATTTCCATAGGTTGGTTTCCAAAAATTTTCTTTCAGATTAAGTTCTATTGAAAAATCCAAGAAGCTCGAATTGGGTGAATACAAAATGAGATACGATAACCAACTTTCTATAGTCAATGGTGAACTTCAACAACTTCAAGGCCAAGTAATGCGGTTCAAGCGAGAAAGAGACACTTATAAGCACATGTTAGAGTCGGCGCAAAAAACTATCGGCGATTTGAAAAATTCTCCAAGAACTGCTAAAGACAATACGAATCCAGCTGCACATTATGATGAGGTAAGTCGCAATTGGGATAAACAAAACCGTCAAATATGTTTCCAGCTGGAAGAATCAAAAACGAAAATTGCAACTCTAGAACAGCAAATCAGTTGCATGGAAGACGAGCTTTCGGAAGCTCGCCTTGAATGTTCCCGACTGAAGACCGAACTGGTGTCGGAAAGGTCAACATGGGAAGTAAAAATGTCTGAATTGCATTCCCGAGTTAATGAATTAGAAGAGGAGAAAATTCTTAGTAGTGGAAGGACAAAAATTGTGGGATTGAGAACACGAATGGAACTCGCCTGGCAGAAAGAACGGGAGGAACAGCAAAGGTTACTGCAGGAAACTGCGACTTTAGCCCGTGATCTTCGACAAACGTTGTTTGAAGTTGAAAGAGAACGAGACAAAGAAAGATTAGAAGCGAAACGGAAACAGGAACAATTCAAAAAATCTTCCGAGGAGGATCAAGATGAAAATAAGAAAAAAATAACTGAGCTACAGTGTGATTTATTAGAACTGAGAGACGCTCACGCTAAATTGAGAACCACAAATGAGAAGCTTCGGCGCGAAAAAGAACGCTACGAAAAAGAAAGAGAAGAGTTCAAATCAATTATTCAAGGCAAGAAAAGATTAAATCAAGAAGATGAAAGAAAAGTAAATGTTTTGATTGAACAAATTGATTATTTGAAACAATTAGCACCAGAATTGTTTTTCTCTCGTGACAAAGAAGCTTCATATACTCCAACTCCTCCACGACGAAGCAGAAGCTCAAAATCGAGGGAGACTTCACCAGCCATCGAACGACGCGAATCGTCTCTTTCACCAGAGGATAAGCAACAAGAAATTCAAAATTTGATGCTGAAATTGGCAAACACTGCGGAAGATTTGCGAAGACTTCAGAAATTAACCGAAGATGAATATGAACGAGAACGAATCAAACGCAGTATGGGAATGAGAAGAGCGACTTCGACTGAACATGAAAATGTTTCCGAAAGTAGATACAAGTCGTACCAGAAAAGAAAAACCGATGGGAGCTTACATCGAAAAAGCTTGTCTTTAGAACACACAATAGCCCAAAATGAACCCAAAATATGGAAGAACGATAATGACAGTATGTCAAGTCTTCATTCTTTGGATATGTCTTCAGACGTTGAAAGGTGGACGACTAGAGACACTAGTTTAGACAGTCGACTGTCTGGTGGTTCGACTCAAAGCGAATTTGCTGGTGAGAAGAAAAAGAAGAAGGGAATTATGGGCAAACTGAAAAAATTGACCAAATCTAGGAGCATAGATGACGAAGATCCTGGAACTTTTTCACCATCAAGATCATTGTCATCAAAGGTTGTCTCTCATGAGTTCCATAATTGTTAATAACACTTTGATTACAGCAAAATTCGAGTTCCGAACTTCTGGAAGAAAAAGGGAGCAAGAAAGATTTAAGGGAGAGAATAACGGGTATTTTTAAGAAAAGTGGCTCTTCGTCAAGGAGCAACAGTGTTGAAAGACATGAAGTGAGACATGACACAAGTTCAACACATAGACCCTTAATGAGAAATGGTAGTGGTGGAAATTTATCATCTCGAGCATCTCCAGCAGTAAGCTTTGAATCAAAACATCAGACTAAATAAATTCTTTTAGTTTCAGGAACCAGAAAAGACACCAAAAGCAAAAACTAAAAGAAATTAACATTTGAAACAATTTCCATTTTTTATCCCCTAAATTACGTGTTTTGTTGTTTGAAAATAGTGTTTCATGTTAATAGAACTGTAAATTTTATGTTTGTAAAGTGATTCTTTAATTAAAGTCGCTATTCGAATCATGTGTTTTTTTGCTCCCCATATTATATTCTGATGAATAACATTTTATAATTGAGATAATTGCCGTTTCATGTCTGAACATAATGCCGCAACATTTAATGACACAAAATTATAGCTTATTACAAACAGAGAGCAGAAATTCGGAAAATTTTCAGTTTCACATTTACAGTAGTGTAGACACAAAATGAATTTGTAAGTACAATAATAAATCTAATAAAAAATGCAAAACAAATATTGCAGAGAGCACGAAATAAAACTGTGCGTAAATGGCACGGAATACAAAGGTAAACTTTCGACTTTAAAATAAATTTTCCAAAAAAATCAAATTTTAGTCGATATATCTTGCTTGAGTTTGGACACAACTTTAAACACTTACCTCCGATCAAAATTAAATCTCACTGGGACCAAACGAATGTGTTTAGAAGGAGGTTGTGGGACCTGCATTGTAGCAGTTCAACGTAAAGATCACGTTACAAGAAAAATAATTACTCAAGCTATCAATTCGGTGATTATTGTACCGATTTTATGACAAACTGATTCTTTTTTTCAGTGTTTAGTGCCACTTTTCTTGTGTCATGGCTGGAATATCTCAACAATTGAAGGGCTAACTAACTCAAAAAATGATTATCATTACTTGCAGAAAGTTTTAGTTGATTTTAATGGCAGTCAGTGTGGATTTTGCTCACCAGGAATGGTCATGAATATGTATAGTCTTCTGCAAGAGCAAAAATTGACAAAAGAGGAAATTGAAAATTCCTTTGGGGGTAATATTTGTAGATGTACGGGGTATCGGCCAATACTAAGTGCTTTCAAATCGGTTTGCGACATTGAGGACCTGAAACTTTGTCCCAAAATTACCACTAGCAGAAAATGTGGCCCGTGTTATTTTAATTTAGGAAAAACAACTTGGATTAAAGTTTTTCTTTTTGATGATTTATTGCAAGTTTTGAGGACTTTTCAGAATTCTACGTACAAGTTAATTGCAGGAAACACAAGCATTGGTAATAAAAATAGTATGAAACTACAATCATTAATCATTATTGTCACAGGTGTGTATAAATGTAATGATGATTATCAGGTTTATGTTGATGTTACGGGTGTTGACGACCTTACCTCTTATCAAATAGAAAATGGTGATCTTGTCATGGGTGCTAATATGACACTAACAGAAACAATGAATTTGTTTGGTAAAATTTCCCAAGACAATACAAATTTTTCGTATTTAAAAAAATTAAAAAAACATATTGATTTAATTGCTAATGTCCCTGTCAGGAATGTAAGTACTTATTCACTTTCATACTTTAGAAAAATCAGTTGTTTTAGTTGGGAACATTGGCTGGTAATTTAATGATAAAATATCAACATAATGAATTTCCGTCCGACATTTTCCTTATTTTTGAAACAATAAATGCAGTTCTGTTGTTAGGTCAGTGCTGAATATTGTATGATCAATTTTTAATTTCTTGTTTCTAGTTGATACCGACAAAATGGAAAGCAAAATATTCTTAAAAGATTTTTTGAAAACGCCAATAAGAGGAAAAGTAATCAAAAAAATCATCCTCCCGCCTCTAAACCCCAATTTTAAATATGAAAGTTATAAGGTATTTTTAATTACGGTTGAATTCCTTATTAATCAAAAAAATTCAAGATCATGCCAAGAGCCCAAAACGCCCATGCTTTAGTCAATGCCGGCTTTTTACTCGAACTAAATGACAATAAAATTGTGCAGTCTGCTCGAATCATTTTTGGTTCAATAAACCCTTCATTTGTTCACGCAACAAAAACAGAAGAATTTCTAAAAGGCAAAAATCTCTTTGATAATAGAACTTTGCAATCATCTTTTGAAATTATGGGCAAGGAACTCGTCCCTGACATTATTCCTGGAAAGCCATCGCCACATTTCCGAAAACAACTCGCAATTTCTCTATTTTACAAATACGTTTTGTCCATAGCTCCGAAAAATTTGATCAGTCGCCAAAATCAAAGTGGGGCTACTTTACTTGAGAGAAGATTAACTTCAAGTAGTCACATTTACGAAAGTGACAAGTCTAAGTACCCTTTGACTCGATCAATGAGAAAAAGAGAAGCACTTGCGCAAGCTTCGGGGCAAGCCGAGTATATCATGGACATGCCAGATAGACCAAGCCAACTTTTTGGGGCCTTTGTTTTAGCTAAAGTGCGAGCATTATCGACGATACGCAAAATTGACACCAGTGACGCAATGGTTTAGATTTTAGAGTGTTGACAAAACAAAGTTTAACAAATAAGTTTGTAGAAGCTAGAAGGAGTTGTTGCTTTTTTCTCAAGTGATGACATCCCCGGACGTAATAATTTCACTCCAAAAGAAACAAATTCGTTATTTTTCTCAGTCGATGAAGAAATTTTTTGTAGCGGAGTTGTCCAATATTACAATCAACCGATCGGTCTTGTGGTTGCTACTAGTCAAGAATTGGCCGAAAAAGGTGCAAGTTTGATAAGAGTGGCTTATAGTCCGGGAAAGCAACCACTCTTGACTATTCAAGACGTGGTAAAAGCCGAAAAGGCAAATTTGGATACTGAAATCAAGCCAAAAAGTCGAGGCAAGAATGTTAGACATGTTATAAAAGGACAGTCGGAGTTGTCTTCTCAATACCACTACCATATGGAAACTCAATGTTGCAATGTTGTACCAACGGAAGATGGGCTTGACATGTACCCATCTAGCCAATGGCTCGACTTATCACAAACTTCCGCAGCTACCACCCTCAATATTCCAATAAATAAGTAAGTTATTCCGAACTAGATCATGTTTTTTTTAATCTTCTGAAGGATCAACGTCGCGATTCGCCGATTGGGTGGTGCTTTTGGTGCTAAAATCTCGAGAAATGCTTTGGTTTCCTCAGCTGCTGCTCTTGCAGCGTACAAATTGAATCGTCCAGTCAAAGTTTGGGTACCTTTTGAGACCAACATGGAAATGGTTGGTAAAAGGTACCCCATGTTGTGGAATTACGAAATGGGGGTCGATGATAACGGCACAATCCAGTATTTGGACATCACTTTTTACTCCGATTATGGTGTTGGAGGCAACGAGCCTAACATTCCGTACGTTTTAGATGCAGTTTTAGGGGCTTATAAAACCGATTTTTGGCACGTTAAAGCCTACAGTGTTAATACTAACAACCCTGCAAGTTGCTATATTCGAGCCCCTGGCACTTGTGAGGGGCTTGCTGTAATTGAATCAATAATGGAACATGCCGCAATGACCCTTGATAAAGACCCTACCGAATTCAGACTTAAAAATTTGAACAAGCAACACGATTTACTTGCACAGTTTGTGAAAGAACTGTACAAATGGGCTGATATTGATGAGCGGAAGAGTCAAATTAAAAGATTCAATGAGGAGAATAGATGGAGAAAGAAAGGATTGGCGGTTGTACCAATGGTTTATCATTTCCATCTTTTTGGCAATTATGAGGTCATTGTTTCCGTCTATAAATCGGATGGGAGTGTTGCTATAGCGCACGGAGGAGTCGAAATGGGGCAAGGTATCAACACTAAGGTAACAAATGACGTTGTTCAAATTTGAGTTAATTGTCTATTTGAAAGGTCATCCAAGTTTGTGCATACAAATTGAAAATTCCAGTTGAAAAAATTTCAGTCAAGCCCAGTAATAATTTAATTGCGCCTAATGCCCATATGGTTGGTGGTAGCTTAACATCAGAAACAGTTTGTCACGTATTATCTCATCCTTGTTTTATTAATTTTTGTTAAAATTCCATTACAGGGTGTGATTAAAGCTTGTGACATTCTGTTGCAACGTATGGAACCGATCAAAAAACAACTCGCTAATGGTAGTTGGGAGGAAATTGTCCAGGAATGTTATAATAAATACATTAACTTGTCGGCTTCTTCAATGTAATTTTTTCAGTGTTTGTGATTAATTTTCAATTGATTTTTACAGGGGAAGCCCATCCGAATTAAAAAATTACACCATTTATGGTGTTTGTTCTTCCGAAATAGAACTAGACGTTTTAACTGGTCAATATGTCGTACAAAGGGTTGATTTACTTGAAGATGCCGGCACTAGCATGAATGCTGGTATTGATATGGGCCAAGTCGAAGGCGCTTTTGTAATGGGCATGGGTTATTTTACGTCGGAAAAAATTATTTATAGCGAAAACGGCGAACTGTTGACTAACCGTACTTGGAATTATAAACCACCTGGTGCTAAAGATATTCCAGTTGATTTTAGGATCAAATTTCCCAGTGATACGCCTAATGACGTTGGAGTTCTCAATTCTAAAGGTTACTAAAATTATTTGTTATGTAAATGTAATGTTAAAAAATTATAGCTGTTGGAGAACCACCGTTATGTTTGGCGTGTTCAGTCCCTTTGGCAATACGGAATGCTGTTGCAAGTGTCAGAAATGAAACGAAAACTTCACACGGCAAGTGGTATCCTTTTTGTAAGCTTTTTTATCACATATTTTCACATAAAAATAAATGATTTTTTTTAGCCGGACCCTCAACTGTAGAAGACGTTTTTACCAATTGCATCCATGATTTTAACCAATATGTATTATAAAAAATTGTAATGTAACAGGGTTGGGAAAATAATAAATGAATGGAAAAAAATTTGAATTTAAGTTTGGCGCCATTTTTAGATGGCGCCACTCCATTTTTTATAAAATAAAAACAAGATGGTTGCCGTAAATATGTCAAATTTGCGGTAGTTTAACCGTTTTGTATGTCTGTGTAACAATATTCACAAAAAACTGTAGTTTTTTTATTATCGTGTTAATGAAAATCAATCGCTGCATTACTGGAATTTCTATGGATGCCTAACCAATTTTGGTCGTAAATATGTATCCCAACTTTATGAATAAGCCAACATTCATGAATAACCCTTCGAGTTCAACTTTTGGAGGTAAATAAAACGAGAAATAAGTAAATGATAGGTTTGTAATTACCATGGTTTCGTTTACTAGCGTCCACTTCAACTTTTGGACAACCAGCTCCAAACACTTCTATGTTTTCGTCAATGCAGCCTTCAAACATTTTCCAGTCTCCGAGCACGTCTTCTTTTACATCTGGAACTCCCAGCCAAACCAGCTTTGGTATGTATACCCCAAAATTGGAAAAAATTGTCGCAAAGACACGTAACATAACCTCACACTTGCCCCCTTGATTGCCCATTATTGTGCAACACTCTCCTTTTTTGTTTACTAACACAAAGTACACAGTTGTTTTGTATTTTTACTAACCGTTGTGATGAGAATTGATATGATTTGTGTGAATGAGTGTGTGATTTTTGACAGATCAGTCGTGTGATAATTAAGTGTCCTGAATTTTTACTAATTGTATTATGATTCTGACAGCTGTGCCCCCTCTTGCGTTGTCTCCAGATGAGGAAAACATGATGGTAGCAGCATGTGAGTTTTTATTTTTGGTTGCTTCCTTTATTTTTTTATTTATTTTCTTCAGATAATCGTGAAGCTATACGTAGATTTGAGACGCTGGGTGGTGGTGAGTTATTGTTCTATTACAGTCTTTCTTCTACGTTCTTTCTTGTCTTTTTCTTTTTTTATGGGGTTGGTGTTTTGATACCAACAACAAATGTTTCTTCTTCACAGAATTCAAGAGTTCACATAATTTAATAAAAAACAGAATAATAAGAAATTTTGTTTAATTCTAGATGACCCATCTATGCTTGATCCAGCCATTATGAGATATGCTGGAGCTGGTGAGTTTTTTTTCAAAATGATTTTTTTTTATTTATTTTCTGAAACGTTAGGTGAGATTTCTCCCAGACCACCATATCCGGAATTTCTTTCACCTCGATTTGGTGATCCCCGAGTTTCGACGGGTAATTTCTAAATATTTAAATCGAATTGTTGTTTTATTTTTTTTTTTTATTTAGCGGAACAGAGAGTTCCACAACAAATAAGTCCGTTTACTATTACTAGTAAGTTATTAAGAAGTATTTAGTTTAGAAATGTAGTAATTTTGAATAGGCCAATCTGCAAAGCCTCTTAACCGTCAGTTGACCCAATATCTTCAAAGTCGTAAGTAATGTTACAATTAAGATTGCAGTATTTATTTGTTTTTAAGTTGGTGTTGGTCGTACGTCAGTTGTTACATTTGGTAGTAAGTGAAAGTCTTGTTATTTTGGGCTAAAACATTTTTTTTTTTAATTTTTAATTAATTAATAGGTACTACAAGTAGTTGTATAACCAGTATTCCAGATCTTGGTAAGTTAAATGGGTGTAGATATTGAATCTTTGATAAAAATTGATAGATCCACCTGATGATTCAATGGGCGGTAACTGTAAGTACATTAAAACTTCTAGTTTGTATATGTTGTATCGAGAGACACAATATTGACACACTATTGACAGTATATTTTGTTTAGCTCAATCACCAAGTGCGTCGCGTAAGACGTCTGGTAAGTTTTTCTTCATTGGTGAGATTGTTTTGTAATATGTTAACCGGAGTGATGTGAGATTCCTTTATCCGTATCCTTTTTTTCCCAAGCACAGAATGGGCAATAGTCCGATATTTTTTTTGTTCAGTTTGTTGTTAATTTATATGTCTGTAGGAACAAATCTATTTGGTCAACAACCACAACCATCAACTAGTGGTGGTTTATTTGGTAGCACAAATGCATTCACTCAAAATAAAACATTCGGATTTGGTTCGGCTCCTCCTCAGCCCGGATTATTCGGCCAACAGCCGCAACAACAAGCCGGATCTTCTCTTTTCCAACCAAACAGTACAATGTTATTTGGAAGTAACGCTTTCGGAAATCAGCAGACTACAGGCACTGTTATTAAATTTAATCCGGTTACGGGTACCGACACTATGCAAAAAAATGGGGTAACCCAATCGATTAGTACCAAACACCATTGCATCACTTGCATGAAAGAATACGAGAATAAATCACTGGAAGAATTACGATTTGAGGATTATTCAGTTAATCGGAAAGGACCCCAACAACAGGCCGGTTTTGGAAGTACCCCTTTTGGGGCTTCGACCACTACAACGCCTTCACTTTTCGGCCAAACTGACAATAAACCAGCGTTTGGACAACCTCAAGCTTTCGGCCAAGCGCCAGCTTTCGGACAAACAACACCAGCATTCGGGTCGACTAACACGACAAGCACTCCGAATTTATTCGGGAAACCGAACACCTTTGGTGCTACTACTAGTACCCCAAGTTTTGGTTTTAATCCGACTCCGGCCACCAATCCTTTCAGTGGCAATCAGGCTACGAAACCTTTCTCTCAACCACTATTCGGAACACAAACCACGCAAGCTCCGTCGACTTTTGGAACTGGTGTTTTTGGACAAACTAACACTCCGGTAAGTTGGTTTTTATTTTAGATTTGTAGATTTTATTTGGACTGTTTTAGAATACAGCGTCTAATTTGTTTCAAAAACCGGCGCAACCCACTACTGGGTTTAACACCGGTCAAACGGGATTTTCATTTAATCAACCTGGTACTACTCAAAGTTCGAATTTGTTTCAAGTTTCGAAACCTAACACCGGTTTCGGAATTTTCGGTCAAACTAATACGGGAACAACAGGTTTCGGTCAGACGAGTCAACCAGCTTTTGGTTCGAATTTTGGAAAACTTACACCAAGTACTTTCACACAACCTACTCAACCTACATTTGGTACGAATTTGACCACTGGGTTGCAACAACAACCACTTTTCGGTGCCGCTACAGCAAAACCACCGAGTCTTTTCGGAGGTACAACAACCGGAAGTAGTAGTCTTTTCTCTAATAATGTCTTTCAACAAACACCTGCTACGTATTCACTTAATCTAAATCAACAACAACCAACGTAAGTACTTTTTTTTGTTTTAGGTTTTATTAAATTTGAAACTTTTTAGTCATTTCCCACCGGAATCGGCCGAGGAAAATAAAAGTATTTCATTGCTTGCAACTGATAGTTTTCCCGATGGACCATTCGTATACGGTTTAGAACCTAAACTTCTTGATTCTAGTAAAAGTACTACGAACCCACAAGATATTAAAGCACTTTTAGACTATTCGAAAAAGCGAGATGAAGGTGCAGGAACAGGATCAAAAATTAAAGTTGACTTGCCAAGACCTAAACGAGTAAGTGTTTATTTTATTTTTTTGACTGTTAGTATTGTTTGTCTCTTTATAGGGCACTAACTACAGCAAAGAATTTTTCGAAACAAACCAAATACTTAAAAGTTCACATAAATGCCTTGTTATTCGTAAATTTAACGACAGTAATTCGACAATTTACAATAAATACAACAATGAACTTATCGAGGAAGCTGAAGAGAGTATAAAATCTTCCCCGCCAAGTGAGGCCGGTACTTGTGTAATTTTGAGCCCGCGAAGTCTTGTCACTGAGAACGACTACACTGAAGATATAACCGAATCAGATGCTACCAAAAGCAGAAGGGGTTTAAAATTACAATTTGACCCATCAATAACAGACACTACAAGAACGAGCAAGTCGTCTTATTCATTCGACGATTCAACAACATACACTCCGAAAACTGGTTTAAGCAAAACCAGTTTTGGTGAGTCATCATCTTCAAAATCAACTCCTCGTCTTAACGGCAGCATAGGGATAAGCGACGACGAAACAATTACAGAAACTGATCCTGAAATGGTTTTGAATTCTTCAATAACTGAAATGGACAGTACAGAAAATCCTGCTGGCGTTATATTGACACGACCAGAGTATTACATGTACCCAGCTTTGAAAGACTTGCATCAATATATCGATGATAATGGCGACTGTATCGTCCAAGGATTGACAATTGGACGTCGAGGATATGGCAATGTCCATTACCCCGATCCAATCAACATCGCCAATATGAATCTTGACGAAATCATACATTTCCGTCACCGTGAAGTAATTATTTACCCCGACGATACTAAAAAACCACCAATCGGTGAAGGTCTAAATCGACGTGCACAAGTTACCTTAGATAAAATTTATCCACGTGAAAAGGGTACTAATAATTACATCACTGACGTTAATCAAATTATCCAAACTAATTTCGTCGATAATCTCATGCATGTCACTCAAAAGCATAATTGCAAATTCGTAGATTATAGGCCCAAGACCGGTTCATGGGTCTTCAAAGTGAAACATTTCTCAAAATACGCTTTCACTGACAGTGACGAAGAAGAATGTGAAGTCCCGGCTGATAAGGCTATTGCTAAAAAGGCGCAAGATATTTTGAAAAAACTTGACGTAAGTGGGGGGGCTAATTTAGAGGTGATTGTATTATATTTGGTTTTGAAGAAGGTGGAAGAAATACCTGCGCTTGGTTTGGGTGGCAGCACTCCGGTAAGCAAAACTCGACTTATCCAAGACTCGGAAAGCTTCGCCACCGAACCGACAATACTCGATTTCTGGCCCGAAGACGATCAATATACAATATCGGAAGAGATGTATCATACTGAATCATCGATTCAGACTCTCAAATCGTCACTTTTTGTCAATTTGGAGACACCTCAAGAACCAAAGAAGACGGAAAGTGTTGTTAAACAACAGCAAATTCCGAGCGAGGTTATAGTGACGCCTAAAGTATACAAATTACCGGATATAAGACGTAAGTGTTTTAATTGTTTTGTCAGTTTGTCAAACTTTGATTTAGTTGCAATCGTTCCGGTAAAAGTTACGACAACGCAAAAGTGTTACACGGAGTTGGGCGTTTTTAGATGTAACACTTATAAGGTGGGCTGGGGGAATGGTTTCAACTTTTATAATTATGATCCATTTGCTGACAATGAGGTGATTTATGCACTCACACATTGCAATATTGATGTCATGAATTCTAATTCAGGAATGGTTTGTTTGGATTCATTTGTTTTGTCAAATATCATATATATAATTTGATTGTAGCCGAACTTAACTGATTTACTTAAAGTAACACTCGAAGAAAGTGAATTTGTGTTTGATCCTAATCAAATACCAACTCTGCATATTAAATGTGATTTGAATTATTTACAAAAACAGACAGATTTATTCAACGATTACGTGAAAACTCGATCATTGTCAGGTCAGGAAAAATACATTTGTAGCGTTTGGAATTTATGCTTGGCGCTTTGGGGACCAGGAGATGATACGCCCTGTATGCGAAGACAATACGTCAGTGATTGGTAATTATTGACTTAAGTTACTTAAGTTACTACACTTGTATAATAATATATTCTCACAGGTTGAAAAAATTTTCTTATGAGTTATCCACCGACTTGAACCTTTATGAACAATTTAGTTCCGACGAAACTGAAGCATTCAAAACGATTTTCAAACTGTTGTCATTCCATAAAATTGCTGAAGCTAGCGAATTTGCGGGCAGAAATAATTTAAGTCAGCTAAGTCTGCTTATAAGTCAGATGAGTGCCAACGAGAGAGTGAAATCGTGGTTGAGGAAATACGTGGAGAGTTTTGAATGGAAAGAAAAAGATATAATAGCTGATGAGTTTAAAAGATTGTACTTGCTTCTTGCTGGCATACCAATACAGGAAACTATAAACACATGCGAGGGTTTGGATTGGATGAGGAGTTTTGGGGTGCATTTGTGGTATGTTGCACCAGCTGCAGCTCCAATCAATGTTGCGTTTAATTTGTATAAGAAAGCATTTGAGGAGCTTGACTATGCAGCAAAGCCGTTTCCACCATATCACAACGGAGACACACAAATCCCTCACTATGACATACTTTACCAGATTTTGACACTTTATGTTGACAGTACACACCAATTATGTAATGTTTTGCATCCTGAAACTCACACTGACAATCTTATGGACTATCGACTTAGGTAAGTTTGCAAAAAAATTAATAATTGAATTTAAATTGTAAGTTGTAGTTGGTTTTTGCTTCAATTATTCTTGTCGTTGAGAGTTGGATTGATTCGGGAGTCGGAAAAGGATCACTTGCATACAACTTTCGCCACCCAATTAGAAAACCTGGGCCACTGGAAGTGGGCTATATTTAGCCTACTCTTTCTTGAGAATAACTTGTTAAAAAAGAATATGATAATGAGAATCCTTGATAGGAATCTCTCAACTCAAACCGAATCAATTGAGAGAGAACTCGTGAAGACTTTCAAAATTCCGCCATCTTGGATTCATGAAGTTAAGGCAACTAAAGCTAAACTCGCCGGTCGCTACTACGAGTACTTCCAGCATTACATCTACATGGGAGAATGGCAAGAGGCTAATGCTGCATTTGTTGACAATATTTTACCAGAACTGTTCATTAATGAACAGTACGAGTATTTAAATAGCTTTATCAATAAAATCCAACCGTATTCAAATCTTTTAGTGAACTGGAACACACAAGTTGGCCTTGTTAAAGAATTTCTGGAATTGCAAGAAACACTGGGTGGAAGTAGCGAAGTGTCGTCTGTTGGAGGAAAATTGAGTTCTTTGTTTCGCAGAATTAATTGTTTTCCGACTAAGAACGACAAACAGAAATTGTTCGTTGTTGAACTTTCACGAAAATGTGCCTTGCTGTTTAAGATTTTTCACAAGAGTTTAGATAGTCAGGTGTTTCAAACCAAATTTGTTGATATTTTGAATAATCTTGCAATGCCTCCAGATATCAAGCATTACGAAATCTTTTATCTTATTAACAAATTCACCCAGGAGGAACCAGAAATTCATTAATATAGTTATGTACTTTTAATTATGTCGTTTTATCTTGTACCGTAATTTTTTTTTCTTAATAAATATGTTATCATGACCGAAGTAGTTTCAATAAAAATGTAGATTATTAAGGAGATTTATTAAAGAATACATACATTAAAAAAATAGATTTTCACACAATTTGTATTTATTGGAAGTCATTCTCAAGATCATGTTCGTTATACATCTTATTTTCTTCTAAGTAAACACTTGATTTAAGACTGTGGTGTACTTCAATCAGTTCAAATAGCGACTGAAAAAATTCCATTGTGCATGCCAAAGTCCCATCTCTCAGTTTTTTAAAACCTTTATCTGAAATAAAAACCCGGTTTCAGGTTGTCAGCGCGGGTGGTTAAAAAGTACAAACCTAACGGCTTCATTTTTCCTTGAATTAACAAAGTTTGGTGGGAACATGCGGCTATTACCCTTTTTATTAAATCCTCTTGATGCTCTTTACTAATCGGATTAATTTTACTGACAAATCGGAGTAAATATTCCATGAAATAACCTTCTTCCTGAAATAATGAAATTAGTCATTGCATCCTAAGAGAGGTTTACATACAGCTGGAAACTTCTGGAAGCAAATTTCAGGTTGCTTATAATTAATAACAATATTTTCAAAAAATTCGCGTTTCATGACAGGATGTTTCAAATTCTCAATCCACTCAAAGAGCAACATCGCTAAAATCCTTAAATCCGTCTCAATCGCAAGCTTCGACCAACCAACTTGTGACGAGTTAATTTCTAGTTGAAACTGTCTCACTTTCTTTTTGATCTCATTCGATAACGTTGAATAATCCAATAGTAGTGCACTGACTGCGACATTTATATCTTGGATAACTATTGATTCGTCATTCATTTCTTGATTGAAACACCTTTGTGTTTCCAACTCTTGAAAACATCGATTTTCAATTAAAAGTTCTTCCCTTATTTCATCACCATCTAAGGTGCTTAATTCGGAAAAAGAATCACTTGGATCACCATTCTCGGAAGGGTTTGGACTAGAAGGCGAAGAAATTTCTTCAGGAGACTTTAATTCGTTGGAAAATAGCGCTGAAATGTAGCGTGAGTCAAAAAAAAAGACAAAATGAAGTCTTACAATCGGAATTTGTACTACATAAGCTGTAGGTACTTTCATATCTTTTAATATTTCCATTGAGTTTCGTGTAAAGAAAATCGAAGGTAAGGGGGGTGTTTGATGAGAATTCGTCTATCCAACAACCACACAGTTTCAAAATTCGCTCGCATATACAGTGGACGATCTAAAAGTTTTACATTATTTACAAGAAATGATATTATCTAGGGTAAAACTGCCTTAGGGATGAATTTAAAAGTCCGTTCTTCGTAACCGTGGAGTATAACTCTTTGCCTGTGAAGAAACCGAACTAGACTAAATTCGCTCATATATTTGTTTTTATTAATGTTTTCTCTGAAATGTAAGAATTTTGATTAGGGGAAAAGTTGGTTCTAACTTGACGTACTTGAGACAATAAGTTATAGTTCGGGGAAGTATAAATTGTGCGAAATGTCGGACACATAAAATTTGTCCTCTAGTTTGTACCGAACCTGGCCTTTTCAATCTAACGTATCTTATAGCATCGTTTGCACTTACTCGAAGCGAATAAACCAAATAACACGCTATAAGAACCCCAGTTCTCCCCAAACCTGAAAAAATTGATCATTTGATCAGATCTTGCGACAAATAATTAATGGTAGCCTTGAAATGGTGGCAATGTTGATTATACATGTCAACACAGAAAATAAAGTTTTCTTGATATTAGAAGTAAAATAAAAGTGTAATTAATAAAATATGAATGTGGTGTTGGACCGATAAATATGATTGACGGCGTGTTTACACTACTTAATAAAATCAATACCAAAATACAGAAATAAATGTAACAAACTCATCAATTCGATAATATCGCATGTTTCTTACCAGCATGACAATGAATAGCGACGCGTCCTTCTGTTACGGCAAAAGCTAGGACTTTTACCATATTTAGGAGGCCGACCAAAGTGGCATCGCCGTAGTCTTTCCAGGCGAAATTGTAATAAAAAACTAAAAATAAACATGAAAATTTAAAACGTGTGACCTGAATGTGACTAAAAATCCCTCATTAAAATAAATGAAGCTAATTAATTATGGAAAAAGTCGATATTAAAGCGCACATTGCAACGTCACGCGAGTGGTATAATTGACCGGGGAAAATATTTCCCCGGGGATAATACCGGTAATTACGGGGAATTCCCCCTTTTAAAGCTTCAGATAATTGGAAGCTTATTGGTTTTGTCGATTTTCGGCCAAAGCTCGGCTAGTTTATTGTTAGAACAATGCCTAAATAATTTACTCTTAATCGAAATGTTCGATGGGGGTATTCAACAAGTCGATTTAAGTTTCATTTACAAATCAATTTTGACCGATTTAAATAGACAGCTCAAGTACCAATTAATGATTAATTTGATTTAAACACGCCTAACTGGGCAAATTCACGCGATTCACTATGTAGGTTAACTTATCAGCTTTATACCCTTATTTATTTCATAGTACATGACCCGATTTCCTTATCAACAGACGAAGAAATTTAGAAAATCTATATACGCGTAATAACCGGCTAGGAGATTTATAACAGGGGGAAATTTTCACATTTGCATTTTCCGGAAACGTTATTTTTATACCTGTTTTTCGGTGGCAAAACGAATAATTTTTTTATTTATACTTGTGGTCGAGTCACTGCGTCATGCGGGGTGTCCTCTAAGTAGAAAATTGAACAGTTTCATTATGTAAAATAATAATATTGACCTTAGTTGTATTTTTGTACCAACACTAATAGTTAGAGTAAGTGAAAAGTGAGTAATTATTATTTTACGTGGAAAACTTTCATGTTTTATACAAAATAATTAAGTCCAGGCACAGATTAAAGAGGTTTGGATATTCTGTGATCCAGGTTTCCTCTTAGTTGGTGCAATTTTATATAGTTTACCATCTGTACCTAGATGAGATTATCTAAAATTTCTATTACTTCTATATTTCGTGCGGGAAATTGTATTTATGTTGTTATGTGAACCAAAAGCTCATGCACATTATTGAATAAATTTACTTATGGGTTTGAGTAGGTGAAAAGTAGTTCAAGTGTAAATATTTGTATAATTTTTTCAATCCAATCACGAATTAACATGCACATAGGAAAAGATTAACTGAAATTGATAACATTGTAATGACTACTATAGACTTACTATTGTGTTCCATAAATATATTTGGGTCGTACGAAAAGCCCGATTCTTCTAAAGGTTGGCCACAACTTGCATGCTCCCTTGGTGATTGTAAATTAATTATCGATTTTATTCCTAAACTAAAAAGATATCATAATAGAAACTAAATAATTCAAGAGCTTAACATATACCTTTCAAATTGTTGAATTATATTCTTTTGTACTATAACCATAGTACTAGGACGTGCCATCGCTAAAATATCGTCAGTTATCCTGCAAAAACGTTCCTAATAATTTATTCAATTTAATTGCAGTAATAATTAATTGCACCACGTGTTGTAAAAAATTAAAAAAAATATTTTTTCTTACTTACCAATGTGAGTATATTCCTTGTATGGCCAAACTGTCGGCTTTCCAATTTTCCGGATTTTCATATTTACAGTTAGTCCCGCCACAAAAAACGCTACACTGTATACCTTGTGGTGTTAACCGCCTTATATGATCAGATAATTTACTGTAATTTGCTTGTACATTTTCATTTGTAGCATTTTTAACTTCGTATAGTTCCATAGTAAAAAACTACATACACCCTTACCGGTTTATTTCAAAATGATACAATCAAACAAACACATTTTTAATCGAGTTGTTAGCGCATGCTTGAATTTATTATTAGATATTATCTGCATAAAAGCTGAAGAACGGTCGCTAAGGTAAATATCCGACACGTCAGAAACACTGAAAAATAAAAATTATTTGCGCACTGCGTATACGGGCGAATTCGCCGAAATTTGAATTAAACTTGTTTGGGTTGTAAAAAAATTATTCAAATAATTGCGTTTCGCGCGATTATATCGGTTCCAATCTTTTTAAGTATTGATTGTGTTGATACATCAGTAAGCAGATAACAAACATAACACACTTCTTGTATATTTTACTAATTACAATTTCATAATTATGAAATCAATCAAATGTTTAAATTATGCAACCAAATAAACATAAGTGTGAATTGCTAACAATAGATGGCAGGCTAATCAAAACATAAAAATTCAAATTTTGGTGCTTCTGAAGCAAAAAATAAATAAAACAAACGTTAAACTCAGATTTGATTGAATTTTTTATTGGACGACTACATTTGCATCACGTTGAATAAATATTTGACATTTAGGATGAAAAACATTGCCCAAGACCTGTTTTCATCAATTTTAACAAATTATCATTTCGCAATAGTAAATGATGACTGATGACGAATGAAAACAATTAAAGCCTGACCCTGGCTTACATTAAAACAATTCAGAATCAGCGTTTGTCTCACGTTTAACGTAATTTGTATATACCCTAGACGTGAATAAATAAACCAACATTCCAAATCAGTTCGTTACAATTACATAATTGTAGCAGAAATGAACAAATCCATGGCGTAAAAGCGAAAGTATTAAATAAAACAGCGAAGGTCGTCCAGGTATAGTCGACTTGCTCAGATTGTACAAACTAGTCTTTGTGGGAGAAGTTATTTTGTGTAGTTCTTGTTGTGATGATGTTCTTTTACCCGAGTTATTAAAACTGCGACTAATATTTAATTATGTTTAAAGTGCATCACAAATCAAACATTAATCCACGATTTAAGGTACTTTTACATAATAATTAATTAAAAACTGTGAATTACCGTAGCTACACAATAATTCACTTTCGAATTTAGATTAATAATAATCGAAATTATGTCACACTTGTGTCATTGAGTAAAGTGGGTCAGAGAAGTGTAATATGGATCGTCACAATTAACAATTTATTTATTTTGAACATAACAATTATTAAATGACTATAAGGGTGTTTTCACATTTTTTTTTCAGGAGGCATGCTTTCTATAGCAATGTATGATGACACCTTCCCAAAATCCATCTGGAATTTTATTGTGTATATACTCTTTATAGTATTAGGTCCTATTCTCTTATTTATTGCAATTTTTGTCCCTAATATACCCCTTACAATTGTACGAAGAATATGTTACATACCGTTTGAGTCTGTTTAAAATTAAGTATAAATTATTTGTATTTATATGTGTATCCTGTAAATAATAAATGTGATATTATTTATAATTTGTGTTTTATTTTTCCTTTGCTGCAATATACAGGGTGAATATAAAGTATGGAACCAAGCGGTTTTATTTTTAATCATTTGCCTCCAGAAAATAATAATTAATACAAATTAAAGTAATATAAAAAATGTGATCGTATTTTCAGAACGAAATTTTGTTTTGTTTTTGAGTTGTGCGTTTTTTTTTGTCATACTTTGCAATTTACCTGTAAATTTTTTTTTTTAATTTAATTTAAAGCGGATAGTTGTAATCCTTAGAGTATAGCTTTTATGAGAAAAATGATTTTATTGCCATTTAAAAAAATATTTTTTTTTGTAGAACTCTAAAACAAAAGGAAATTTCGAAAAATATTCTTGCTAAATTATCACATTTTTATAGTACTTTATCACTCATCAATTAGTTTTTTCAACAAATAAATAGTTTAAGCAAAAAATGTTTGGTTTCATACTTTTTATTCACCTGGTATACATAAATAAATGGGAAACCATTATGAACAGAAATCTTACTAAGTGCCATCTAGTGACGAGTAGCAGAAACTAATTTAGTGAACGTTTTACCGACGACTGAAGTTTTCTGTCAGGTTTGTTAACACGTGGCGCCATTTTACGAAATTTGACTGTTTTCCAAACATTAGTTAAATGTTTCACAATTCACTCGCCTTTATGTTGGCTTTTTTTAAATAATTTTGAATTTCACTACAAGCAATGAAATTGTTTATCGGTTGTATTTTTCCTAGGCGCGTGAACGCGTGTTGTAACTTCCTATTGAGCCCATTCGGAGCGGACTGAAAAGTATCCGGTAAAAAAGGACGCCATACAAAATGGAGCTTAGGGTAAAACTCCTCCCCTACAATTAATATTTCCCGCCTCTGTCGAAGAATTCGTAAAGATCCAATGAGAACAGTCGGCGCGAGTGTAAGGTTGGGCTTGAAAAGGCCTGCGTACCCATAACTTTTCTAGTATGATACACATTTTTGATCACACTCTCTTAGATAAACCGATTTGTAAAGTTAACTACAAAGCTAAGCCGACAATCCCATCAGAAAATAAGCCGACAGTGATTTTCTTTTGTGCGGTTACCAAACACCATTATGTACACTAGTGCGGTATAGTGTTTTGTGTACGGAGGACTGTACAGATTTATTTATTTAATTTGTCATGTGGCACAAATGGATAAAAGGAACAACTTAAAAGTCGTCAGCAGGTAAGAGAATTTTTTTTTTCAAAAAACTGGATAAAATTCTTGGCCCAGTTGAACGATTGATTAATCCACAAAAGATAAATTGTGTGGAGGAATCTAATTTAACTTCAAAGTTGATGTGATAAATGGTTTTGGTTTGTCCCTCTATTTTACTGCTATTAATTATCAATGTCAGCTGTATAATCGAACATAAAAGATCTTATTACATACACCGTAAAGATAAGTTTAATAAATTTCACGTACACAATAGCGGCCATGCCATAAATAATTAATATTTATTAGTGCAAACACTTTTCAATACCGGTACCAACCGTAAACAAACGAACAACAAATTCGCACATATTCCGACCACTCTATATCTCTAAACTATTAATCAAATATTTAAAAAATGTCGCTTTTTAACTGTGGGACTTCGTGGAAAATTATTTGATTTGAAAGCCGAAAAATACGAGCTTAGCAAACTAATCTTCAATTTCTACACTAGATTATTTTTATAGTTCCACAAAACTGAATCTTTCTATGAAGCAACCGATAATTTATGCGCCGTTAAAGTCACATCTGACTTATATTTATGCCGGGCTCGTTTTTCCTCTTTTTTGTTTAATTTTTAGAAATACCAGAAGCTATTATCTAATCAGATTTGTTTAAGTGAGTTTTATCTTATTAAACGCCGCTTCGGGTGTGTTTTTTCAGCATTTTGCTGATGATTTCGACGTGTGTAAATAGACAATAATCGCGTTGGTCATTATTTTAATTACAATCTGTTGAGCGTAATGGTAATAGAATTATAATAGCCGGCGGTATTCGTGGCATATCATTAGCACCCGCTTAATTTTAACATTGTTTTCGCTACTAATTATGAAATAAAGTAATTGTGTTCAACCCCGAGTTGATGAATAAATTTGGGATGTCTTGGAGATGATGAGGACCCTATTAGTGGGCGCGTGAGCGGCGGCTTTATTCATTCTTTCGTGTTGGTAATATTCCAACATCAACTACTGTTTACATAGTTGTAATACTACATGTTGACTAAGTTTTAATGGGATGGTGCAACCCTCCCGGGGTTTGAATGACCCCTTAATAATCACACAATGACAATATCTACAATCGGTCCCCAAGCCGCAGCAGCACGTGCCAGGAGTGCATAAAAAGCAACTCTCTATATTTGCAAAAACTTCAAGTAATACCACCGTTGACAGGAAAGAATTTTTGCTATTTGTTACGTTTGTCACGATAATTAGAGTGAATTGTTTTAATGTGTATTTTGTCGAGTGAGAAAAATTGCTGTTCTCGGTGGGACTCCCCTAGCTATACAATGCGTCGCATTTGCCCTTTTCCCACTAATGCACACTTTGTGATAGCGGGGAAGTCTTTCATTGTGCAATTTGTGAAATAGACTCATTTGCTACACTTTTGCATTGTAGCTGATTTTGTAACGTTACTTCACACTTTTATTACTACTAAACAAATCATTCTAATTTACTGCAAAGTCTGTATTTTAATAGTAAATTGATAAGTGACATTTTAATACTATAACTAATCAAGTTAATGACAAACAGTGAAAACTATTATCCATAATTCACTCAAGCATTGTACCTATGGCACATTGTCGGTGCTATTATATTTTTCAACACTCAACATTTATATTAAAAAATAAATAATTTATGGAATGTATTGAGTAATGTAAATAAGAAATTTGCAAGAATCCGACTATTATTCTGCTCGAGAAATAATTAACAGTTATTTATATGCATTTGCAGACATAAATCATTTAATATAACTACTAAACTACACTGTTGTAACATTCTGACATTTACAAAGTTGAAAGATTGTAACCATATTACTTTGTAATTTGTTCGACGAATCAACTTCTCTTTGATTACATCAATTCAAATGGTGTCAAAGTTTACCTATGTACGTATATAAAAATTTTCTCCGTTATTTTATAAAGAAAAAGTTTGTTTATTTCTATAACACAACAAATAAATTTTAGTTTTGTTAACACGACAAAGTACTCAGAACTTGCTAAATCACTAATTGTGTAACTTAGTGAATTTATCAGCCTCGTTAATCAAGTTGTATTTTTGCCAGGAAAAAGCGTGTACTTTAATTTTATATTATTTGCAATAAAATTGTTATTTTCAAGAATAAATCTTTATTTATTTTTAACCATGACTGGATTAAACAAAATAATTTTAAACGAGCTACAGTAATAAGAGTGAAATTAACAACAAAACGAAAATTTATAATGATCCCAAATAAGTTTGTTCTCAGAATGATAGATCTGTTACCAACTTGTAAACTTGTTAACACCACTATTTCAAAATTTGTACACTCACGCAAAAACGTGATCAGTCATCAATTAATAAAAGTTGTTTTTACAATTGTATATTTATTCTCAAAGTGTTATTAGAATTGAATAAAATACAATTTTGTATTTATTAATGTCCGTAACATTATATAAAAATTTATTTATACAAAACGATTTATTGAATAAAAACCTGCCCAATAGACACATTTTTCTTTTATTAATTTTGAAAATAAAACTGTTAAATTTTAAATAAAGAATTTATTTTTACATTGGTGACAACAGAATAAAATATCTACATATCGACTCTTCCAACGAAGACTATAGTAAAAAAATTATAGTTTTGAGAAAAATTGCATTGAATCTTTGATTGTTAATAAAAAAATTAAGGAACTGTTTAATATTATTGAAAATTGCTAAGGTTCTAAATTTTGGTAAATAATGATTTATTCAAAGAAAACTTTTCTCATTGTTTTTGTATTTTGGCCCCTACATGAGCCATCGTAACTCAAAAACCAATTTTTATGTGTTACTATATAGTTTTCGTTCGGAGAGTCGATATTACAATGTAATAAGGTTTTGAATTTATGGAATTGAATTTAATAGTCAAAGGATTTTGCTAATGACAAATATTTATTTTGCTGAATAACTAACGTCTAGACGTGTTTCGCCAACCACGTTGGCATCATCAGAGTAATGATTCAGAACTGCAAAACCTGTTTCAAGACTAAATCTAAAGACTAAAATATATTAACAACGACATTAGATATAGTAAACTCGTTTGGCACTTTCGGTCCAAACTGGTTTTGTGTTGTTCAGAACATTTTCAGATCTGCAATGTTTGAAACTTGAACTAGACCAGAAACTAGTTTTTGCGATACGTGATTATAGAATTTGATTGGTTTTGCCAAAAAACGCTAACTCAAGTAGCTGCGATAATTGAACTCTTAATACACTTCTGTTAAACAATCATTGTCAGCCTGATTTATAAACTTTGTTTTATGTTTTTCACAAGATTCTGGTTATTAACTGCACGTTCAAACAAATCGAAAACCGCAAACATGCGACGCTCTTTGTTCGTCATGTAATTTAATGTCAGATTTAAGGTAAATTTTCGGGGATATTTACACCAATTTAATGTATTTTTTGATTACTCTGTAGTCTGTACCGGTTATAAAATCTGGAGTTATTAAAAACAGTCAATCAAATGTGCATGAAACCATATTAAACTCTGTTTTTTGACATGTTCGAAAAGTAATTAAGTAAGACCAAAAACTGGTGTAGTTTCTTGTTAAATATGGAGTCAATTATTTCATTATACCTTCCGATGTGTTATAAGCTGCAAGTCTATTTGTTAAAAGTGTCAGTAATTCTCCTTCCTTATAGTCTGTTATCTGCTTTTACTCTACCCTGTAATTATTTCGAAATTAGCTTTAATATTTTAAAGTAGAAAATTTTTGATCTTTGAACTGCGCATTCTATCTACCGACAATAGTTAAATAAATTGGAATAAAATTAGTAAAAATTACATCTATTCAAAAACCAAATTTGCACCCAGTCGCCGTTTTGTTCTTTGTGCAGTAGAGTTAAGGTCAAGTTATTGTGTTGTAAAAAAATATAATCCACAAATTTATTACCTGACCTGACATCAAAAATTTAACGATTATTTTACAAAGCAAACACCATCACTGGGTTATTAGTGCTATTTCTGGTCATCAGTTTTTTTATTTCGGCCCAATTCCTTACCAGCTTATCGCGCAAAGTCGATAAATGTTTGGGGTGCGTATTAACGTGTGACACCCTAAAGTAATAATCCCTAAACACGAGACTAAAGCCGACTTTTGTAAATTTAACGCAAATATTGACTTTCTTTTAAAACGCAATCGCACGGAATCATTAGTATGTTAATTAGACATAAAGTTTAAAAGATCGTTAAGTAAAAATGTGTTTTTAATTAAAACAAAAACCAGTAGTGGCTGAACAACTGACCATGCATTAAATTTTATAGTCATTAACCTGCAGGAGGCGTCGCTAATATCCACAATTTCGACCATTTATCCACAAGAGATAAATTAATGCAAACGTAAAAAACGATTTTAAACTATGGGCTATAAAGTTTCAAAATTAATAAAGTTATCGTAAAATATGCTAATTATTGTTAATACAATTAAATGTTTTACTCATAACACGTGTTACATGTTTCATGTAAACAATAGTTACTTTTAAAAATCCATAATATGGCCAAGAGATCTCTGATACTATTGTATGTAATAATTTGTTTGATAAACTCACTTAATTAGAACGATCTTTATCATAAGCAAACTTTACACGAAACCTGGAGCTCGCCCAACCAACAAATGAAAAAAAATCCATAAATACAAACGACTTTCGTTTTATTCGCTCATTCATTTTACCTTATCTACTCATTCAAACACAAATAGGGTTTTTCAACAGGCACGCTGTTTGAGTTATTATAACACAAAGACTCATCTTTACAAATTCATTTGCATCAGAATGTACTATTTTTCGCCCTTGTTTAAAGTGCTAACAATGTCACAATTCAAGGGAAGTAATTTACGCTTTCCTCCTTGGTTTAACAAAGACTAGGACACAGCTGTGTTACTACTTATTAGTTCAAAATTGCATCAATTAAAAAAAAAAGAAAATTTATTAAAATACAGGGTGTGTCAGAATACTCGCCCCAGAGAAAAATTTCAAGTAAGATAAGATACCAGGAACATGGAAAAAAATTTAACATTTATTTTTTGACATTTGATATTTTTCATGTCTATTTAATTATACTGATGATCTTGTATGTATTTGTTTTTTTTTTATAATTATTTAGTAAAGGTAGAAAAATTTTGCCAATAAAAGCTACAAGTAACATTAAACCGATTTACAATTTAGAATACAGTTTCCTTATTTCCTCTTCTAATAGCCTGTAGCAAAAAAACTTGGAAAAGTATTTTTCCAACAGAAATAAAAAGAGTCAAAGTGCAAAACTCTCATAACTTTTAACTAACTAATTAATTAACTAATTTTTATAGATAGAATTTTTTTAACATTTTTTCCATGTTCCTGGTATCTTACGTTACATTTTTCTCTGGGGCGCGAGTTCTGGCGCAGCCTGTATAGACCAAGTATTACATACTTGAGTTTGCTTGTGATCACTTTAAGATTTTTAGCTTTGCTACAACAAAACAATAAACGCTTACACATTCAGAATTTCTATAAATCAGGGAAAAGTTTAGAATTTCTGTATTTATTAGTAATACAATTTATAATTTTTTTAAGTCACGTTTTAGTTGTTTTTGGAATAAAATAAAATCTATAAGAAAAATAATCAACATAATTTTGTTAGAGTAAAGTCTGAAAAAAATCAATTTGTCACATTTATCTGTTTTTCCAAAATTCATAAAATACTTATCGTTTAATCTCTCTTTTTTGTATTTCTTAAATATCACCATTTACCTACTTGATTAGTTTAGAATCAGAGTTGTTATCGTTGGTATTTACAGAAGAGGTGAGTAACTTATTTTGATTTAGAAGAACCGAAGCTTTATCAATTTTTTTAAATTATTTTTTTTATGATTTAAAAATATTGTATCAAAAACATTTTGTTCCGTTAATAGAAAAGCGACACATCTAACAATCATTAATTTTTAGTAGAGTCATTTTAAAATTTAATTTGAAATTCTAAATTAGGACAGTCAGTATGTCTAAACAGGCTTTATTTTTATGTTGCAACACCTTACCATACTATTCTTGAAACTGCGATAATATTTTTCCAAAATTTGATAGTTACAACTCTATACTAACAAAAGTTTTGTCCCTTGTAATAGTTGTAATATTTTTTCATAAAAGCAAATAGTTTTTTTCTCAATGTCTGCTTTAAAAATTTACATTTTACGTAAATAAAAAACTACTAGGAAACAAAATTTTAATTCAAATAACACAAAAGACAAAATTATAGCTATTAACAAGAGTTTTAAACTATAATACTTGTGTTGTGTTCAAAATTTTTTGTAACACTAATATTGAACGAGAAATTTTACTAAATTCAGAAATTATTATAAAGAAGTATTATGTCAAAATAATGTTAAAATTGACAAGATAAGAGTATGTTATGAACTTACATATTTTATACAAAAACCGTCTATTAACGGCAGCATAAAAAATAAGCCTAAATGCACCATAGAAACAGTATAAGGTATTAGTGTTGGAAAATACACTTTTAATTCTGCTAACTTAAAAAAAAGTAGTAAACTGGTAAAAAATAGTATTGTTATCTCGTTAAATATAGTAAAACTGTAAAGCCACAGCTGTATCGTTTTTCCACATTGGCTTCTTGGGTTCAACATGGTCAATTATTCCAAAAATGGTAATTTTTCTATCAACGATTTGTGATACAAGTTTTATCTTCGGTTTCTGTCCTTATGCGATAATGACGACAAGAGTTTTATTAGTTTTGACCGTTAGTAATATAACAAGTGGCAGAACGTTTTGGGATCAGTTTTATCAAATTTAGCTGCATTGAACAGTTCAAATTATGATTGATAAGAGAGAAAAACCGTGCACTATAAACAGTATGTAATTTCTGTCGAGTTTTAGAGTTGATTTAAGAGTCATTATGTAGAGATGTAATGATAATATAATTTTCGTGGAGGTTGTGATAGACCAATTCTATGAAAGATTATCGTAGGTAAAAGACACCGCATATGCATAAACAATGTTGATCAGCCCCCATGCGTTCCTGATTTGTGTCTAGGAAATTTATAGCTAGATATTCCTGTCAGTTGATTATTAGCATTAATATGGTCTGAAAGGACAGCGGTTCTGATTCAAAGCATTTGCTGAATAAGAATTAAGATCACTAAACAACCTACTAGGTATAATCATAATAAATTAGCTATGTATGTATTGCACCTTATAAACCGTTTGCTATTAAATTCAAGTTTAATATTTGCTTTGACTTAAGTTGCGGGTATAATTCTTTAAAGCGACTTCCTTTGATGTTACGTAAGTTCAGGTGGATAGAATTTATTTAGTGAAATAAACGCAACATGCGAATTACAGCTGTTAATTCTCATTCACACGAAAAAATGAAATTGTTGAACGGAAGAAGCGAAATGAATGTGGGGTAAATTATATACGGGCGAGATTACAAATAGTACATTGTTAACAGTTTTTTTCGCTCACCCATCGATGACATTTATGATTAATCAGGGTGTGTTTTTCGTTGCAGAAATGCCAAGGCCACCTCGTGAAACATACGGGGATCAGAAACCACCATATTCGTACATATCTCTCACAGCGATGGCCATATGGAGTTCACCGGAAAAAATGCTACCCCTTTCGGAAATCTACCGATTTATCACCGACCGTTTCCCTTACTACCGGCGAAACACCCAAAGATGGCAAAACTCCCTCCGGCATAATTTATCTTTCAACGACTGTTTCATCAAAATACCGCGCCGACCGGACCGTCCCGGCAAGGGCGCCTTTTGGGCCCTCCACCCTTCTGCTTTAGACATGTTCGAAAACGGGAGTTTCCTCCGACGACGGAAACGCTTCAAACTCCCCAAACACGTCCACGAAGAGCTCGATAGTCTCTCAAAACTGAACAGTTCCTTCATGGGGGGACAAACAGTCAGTCCTACCCCATCCACATGCTTATCAAACGTCCCTCCAATTGTCTGTCCCCCAACCACCGACCTCTCTTTACCCCTTCCGCCTATTACACCAGTCACGACAACCGCCCCCAAGTCCTTCAGCATCGATAGTATCATTCAAAGCGAGCCAAAATCGCCCCAAGCCCAATTTCCAGCAAACATACCCCCAATTCAAACACTCCCTAACCTTTCCTGGGTCAACATGATGACCCCTTCCACCTCCCAAAATGAACTCCATAACCGAGACGAGTTGATCATGGCACAGAAAGCGGCATTTTTCGAATATGCCGCCGCCATTTTCTCGATAAATGCCTCGACCAGTGCGAAAACGGGCACGGGGGTCATACGACCCCTTCCCATCATGCCTAACGCTCTGTACCCGGCGACCTGCCATACAGTACCACTACCAGTGCAATACTCGTTTTGCATGCCTAATATGCGTAACTTGGAATTTGAGACTGAGCACGAATGTGATAGAACCATCATGGACAAAAATATCTCACTCAACTATTTAATCGCCCAAAATGGACAAGAGGACAACATCGAAATTTCCTCCTCGTCCTCAGAGGAGACCACCAACGTGTAAATAATATTCGTTGTGCAAACTGTGTTAATGTATTTTAGTTCTTATATAGTTATATTTAAATAAAAGTTGAAAAAAATCGTTGATTTTTCTTTTCACATTCCCTGCTTTGCAGAAAAAAATTCGGTGACAGCTTGTCTTTCTAAGTTATACAGTGTTTATGAATGAGACTTTTTTTTATAAGAGTCATTTGTCTTTTATTAATATACAGGGTGCGCCAGAACTCGCGCCCCAGAGAAAATATTCAAGTAAGGTAAGATACCAAGAATATGAAAAAAATGTTTAAAAAATTATATCCTTCAAAAAATTTTGACATATTTTTTGACATTTGACATTTTTTTTATATCTATTTAATGATACTGATGATCTTGTATATGTTTTCTTACAATTATTTAGTAAAGGGACAAAAATCTTGCCAATAAAAGCCATAAATAACATTGAACAGAGTTACAATTTAGGATACAGCTTCCTTGTTTCCTCTTTTAATAGCCTATAGCAAAAAAACTTGGAAAATTATTTTTCCAACGGAAATAAATAGAGTCAAAGTGCAAACTTTAAACCCTCATAACTTCGAAATTTTTATAGATAAAATTTTTTTAACATTTTTTCCATGTTTCTGGTATTTTACCTTATATGGCATTTTTCTCTGGGGCGTGAGTTCTGGCGCACTCTGTATATTTAGTTAAAAATGAGTGGATTTCTCAATTTAAATGGGCTATGATTTGACAATACTGAGCAACCAGTAACATAAAAAAAGATACAAGAAACATCACTATCATATTATTCAGTTTTAAAAATTAACACAAAGTCATATCTTATTAGACTTCAGATTAAAAAAAAACAAATATTATGGCTTTATAGATATTATTTTTTATCAAAAACTACACAGTTTTTCTGTATAATACCTATCTATTATGAAATGAAGACAGGATGTGTACTTATTTATAAACTTTTGCTATTAAAAAAAATATGTATAGGGAAAAATAGGGATGTGACGTCTTGTAGAAATGTCTAATTTGGAGTATAAGCTTAATCCATTGAATTAATAACACATTATTGTTCTCACTCTTTCATCTATTAGCCTTATCTCAAGATATCGATAATTCCGATAAAACGTCTGTTTTCAATACACCAGCAGGTCAATAATTACAATAGACCCGTTTTTATCTAACAGCCCATTTTTCTTGCCAGGTGTTAGTGATTTAATTTGCGGGCCCGTTTATTCGGTTCCGTAAAACGATCACCTTTTTTTAAAACGCCAACCAATTTAAATTCAAATTATTAAAGAAATTTCTACATTGAAACAACGAGAAGAAGTAAGATAGATACAGTCATTATTAGAAAGATAACAAAATGCGATTTTCAAAAAGGGGTTGGTCAAAAATGACCAAGACAAAAATAAATATCCAAAAAGTATAAAAAATGAACCGGCTACCCGGTTTATATCACCCACATGGTATAATGGGTGGCTCACGAAAAAATACAAACACTAATAACTCACTTAAAAATTTTTGACAAATGTGACTTTCAATTATCGACAAGATTGCGCCTCTATAATTTATAAAAAGCCACCTGATGTATGTACAATCCCGCCCGCATTTCATTACCTGTAACATGTTACAATTTGTGTTCTATTGGTTGTACATTGAGGCAAAAATTTTATTATTGCAATCATTATGCACAAGCCAGTTGATGGCTTCTTTACACGCAATTTTAACGACGAAACACCGAAAAAAAAAACAAAATTATAGTATAACATTATTAAAGTATTACGTAAGAAATGAATAAGTATGATAAATAAAAATCAAAATCGACCTACATGCTCGGAAATGAATTGATTTAATTAACGTTGTATTTTTTCTGTCAGAAAATCCTTATTATTAATACATTAGTGATGCGGTGTTAGCTTATTTAAATAAGCCAAGGATAATTACTCGAAAATGATCTTTTTTATTCAAACATAATAGAATTTTTTGATGCAAATCTCTCAATTTTTAAATTCTTGTAGAGTTCCTGAATTAATTCTGTTAAACGAGATCTCGAGGGAAAAGCTTTTGTGGTTTTTAAATGGCTTATATTGAATTAATTCTTTTAGCATCAAGTTGCCACAGCCGGAAATATCATTAAAACGTGAATAATTCATCATTTTTGTAAAAGCCAAGTTGCATACTTGTGAAAATTTAACAAACATTTTCTTTAATCGAAGCTTTTATACATTATTGGATTATTCATTAGTTGTCGTCCATTTTGGGCATTCTTTGATAATCATTAAATTGTCACCGAACTTTCTAAATTACATCAGTATCATTAATAATAATTTAATTAAAGCGGCTCTTTCAAGAATTGAACTTTTAATGTAACTAATTCTGTATTTTAAATGACTTTAATTCCGTTTGGAATTGTGGAGGTTTTCACAGAACAACCATTCCGAGAAATGTAATACAGGGTGATTCAACACAGCTTTTCACTATAGGGAGTGAATTACGAAAGCGGATTTGTTCATTAAGCTCAAGTTTGGTATTAAACAAACCAAAGTGAATAATTACAGAGCAAAGAAAAGTGCATAAGTAATTTCAGATTTAATTGGTAAATTACATCTCGGTACTACTTGTTTTCCTTCACAATTAGGAATGTGATTAATTACAAATCTGTGTTGAAGGAATGTCAAACTATCTCTCACACAAACAGTGTGAAAAATGAAGGAAATTAAATGACGTCAGTTTGTATAATATGATGTAGGTCTATTTATTCTAAGCTTGACCTATAATTAAGTGTAATTCTAAATTAAATTTAATTTTATTCCAAAAGTTTTTAATTAATGAAGGTGTTTATCATGTCGTATTGTTAGCATAATTGCATGCTAGGTACATTTTAGTGGTAGTTATATAACAATAAGTACCAAAGTATGCAATTAAACGAAGCATTTGCCTATTTAATTATGACAGATAACCAAATTTGAGGTAATAATTTACGTTTAATTACCGCCATTGGCTAAGTCGCACTTTCCGACGAAATTCGAAAAACCCCTTTGGAAAATTTTCAAACACAATGGTCAAAGTTCTTTCACAGTCGGAGAAACAGAAAAAATAAATTTAAGTGAAGAAGTACCATGTAATTATCTCACCCCGCGAGCTTTTTTACTTTTTGCAGCAACGATGCAGTCTAAAGTACAAGCTGATTATTGATGAAATACTGTTATTAAAATGAAGCAAAACAAAATACATAATCCTATCAATAACTTAATGACAATTTCCTGTAAGCATCTATCCTCGTCAAATAAGAAAATTTAATTTGCGCTGTATTTTAAAACGAGACGACCATACATTCATATTTCACTAAAACGTGTACAAAGAGTGGAACATAAATTAAGTGGGGTTAAATGTCAAATATTTTGAATTGTGCACTTGTAGGTTTTACTGGCAAACCTCAATATAACTATGGTGGATTTTCTACAATGTATGCACAATAGACAGAGATTTTTAACCGACTTAAAGAGATTTATGGGTCATAGGACAGCTCAGAGTCTGACCACCGAATTAGCACATTTCTAAACGATTCGTCAAAACTCCACACAAAGAAGATATGTAGGTAGGTATACTTGAAAAAATGTAATTACAAAATGTTTTTTTTTATTTCAAACAGAAAAATGAGAAAATATTATAACATAGAGTTGTAGAGTTGTAGCCAAAAATTCGGCAAAATGTGTCACTAAAAACCTAAGAATAAAAAATGTGCGTTCCGCAAGGTTTATTTCAAATCACTGCAGAATTAGTCAAAGTTACAAAAAAGTTAAGAAGACGCCTTTTCAGAATATCTAATTTCCTGCAAGAAACTTTTTAGCAGGATGTTTCTATCAGCTATTACAAGTACCCAAAAAAAAAAGTTAATACAAATAACAAATATGTAAAACTAAAAAAATTTAGCTTGAAAACTTATAGTTTAATAATCAAACAATACGTTTTAGCATTAAAAATACCCTAGATGTATTAAAAAAAATAGTTTTATAGTAATTTCAAAAAAGGAAACAGAAACAACAATCGAAACGTCAGTATCTGAGTCCGTGTCATTTTAAAATTTTAAATTTCAACCTTAACTTTACGATAATGCTAAAAAATACGATCTAATAATTATTCAAACAGTATAATATGTCTACCTAAAAATAGAAAACAAGATAAATATACTTCTAACAGTTTGACAATAATAAATAACCACTATTAAAAAAATAGATGGTAACATGTAGAAGGATAAAATAAATGTCAGAGAATAAACCAAAAAATGAACAAAAAATAAAACGTTATTAAATTTTATTTGGAAATCTGTGTTCTTAATGACTTAGTAACTGTCAAACTTCACTATAGCGGTTTTTATAATAACGAAGAATCGGTTATTGCGAAATCATTTGGTCTTTTATTAAATTATTATCCTTTGTAAAAATTTTTGTTTACATGGAGTTAATTGGATATTCGACAAAAATGTCGATAAGATAGCCCTTTTCGAGCACTACAAGCTCCATTAATCAGGTTTTAATTTCTGTTACTCGTGCAGCCAGAAAAAAATAAAAACTAATTTCCTATATCCAAACCTGCCTGGGACACCCGGTATATGAATATTGGGGGTCCTCTAAAGTTCTGGTGCACTGTTTTTTATTGTAGTTCACAGAAAAATTTCAACGAATAAAGCTTACAAACATGTGGTTTACAAAAGGAAAATAAAGAGTAAAAGTTGAATATCTAAACTTTTTGAAGATTTGTTTCTCGAAACTTTTTTAGAACGAAAATTTTTGTTTTCTTAATTTCTGCTATTAGCGGCGTTCTACTCTATTCTATACTGTCCACGAGATAGATGTTGTCAAAATGTCAATTTAAATTGTTCCGACATCGACTTTTTTCCAATATTAAAAGACTTAAAAATGATTTAAAAATAAAATGCAATTTTAATTAGCTCGTAAGTTCGTTTTTTAGTGGTTGTGTTATGTTATGTCTAAATTGTTTAAAATTGTAAATTGCTTGGAGCGTTGAAATAAATTATTATTATT